TGGGTCCCACAGGATACTTACTACATAAGGTCACTCTACTAAGACTGAGAGGCATAACAACCTACATAGAAACAAACACAGGGACACAGCCAAAATTGGGAGACAAAGAAATATGTCCCAAATAAAAGAACAGGACAAAGCTCCAGAAAAAGAACTAAACAAAATGGAGACAAGCAATCTACAAAATGCAGAGTTCAAAACACTTGTAATAAGGATACTCAATGATCTCGGGGAGAACTTCAACAAAGAGATAAGAAACATAAAAATGGAGATAGAAAACATTAAAAAGAACCAATCAGAAATAAAGACTACAATAACTGAAATGAAGGATATATTGCAGGGAATCAACAGATTAGATGAAGCAGAGGATCAAATCAGTGATTTACAAGATAAAATAGCAGAACACACCCAATCAGACAGAAAAATAAAACAAAACTAACATGAGGGGAGTTTAAGGGGCCACTGAGACATCACGCATACCAACATTTGCATTATAGGGGTACCAGAAGGAGATGAGAGACAGCAAGGAATTGAAAACCTATTTGAAGAAATAATGACAGAAAACTTCCCTAGCCTGGTGAAGGAAATAGACATTCAAGCCCAGGAAGCACAGAGTCCCTAACAAGATGAACCCAAAGAGGCCAATACCAAGACACATCATAATTAAATTGCCAAAGGTTAAAGACAAAGAGAATCTTAAAAGCAGCAAGAGAAAAGTGGTTAGTTACCATTATATGAAGAAGCTTCCATAAGACTGGCAACTGATTTCTTAATAGAAACTTTGCAGGCCAGGAGGGATTGGCAGGAAATATTCAAAATGATGAAAAGTAAGGACCTACAACCAAGATTACTCTACGCAGCAAAGATATTCAGAATTGAAGGACAGAAAAAGAACTTCCCAGATAAGAAAAAGATAAAGATATTCCTCACCACCAAACTGGTATTACAAAGAATGTTAGAGGGGCTTCAAGACAAAAAAAAAAAAGGTAAAAAATATGAATAATAACATGGCAATAACTACATATCTATCAACAATTACTTTTAATGTAAATAGATTAAATGCTTCAATCAAAAGATAAGGTAGCTGAATGGTTAAGCAAACAAGCTTACATATGCTGCTTACAAGAGACTCACTTCAGATCAAGCACACACAGATTGGAAGTAAAGAGATAGTAAAAATATATATCATGAAAATGGAAACAAAGCTGTGTTAGCAATACTTATAGAAGACAAAATAGACTTTAAAACAAAGGCTATAACAAGAGAGAAAGGAGGACCTACAAATCCCACTTATGGGTAATTATCCATAGAAACCCAAAGTGCTACTTTGAGGGGATGTGTGCATCCATTTGCTCATTACAGCACTGTTTACAATGGCCAAGATGTGGAGGCAGCCTGGGTGTCTGTTGATGGATGAATGGATAAAAAGGAGGCAGTACATATCTACAATGGAACATTGGTTGGCCATGAAAGGGAATGGGTTCTTGCCATCTGTGGTGGCATGGATGGACATGGAGGGTATTGTGCTGAGTGGAGTACATCACACAGAGAAAGACAGATGCAATGTGATTTCACTTACACGTGGAATCAAAAAAACAAAATAAACAAACAAAACAAAAACAAACTCAGATACAGAGAACATTTTGATGGATGTCCTATAGGAGGAGGCTTGAGAATGGGTGAAAGAGGTGAAGGGATTAAGAAGTACACATTGATTGTTACAAAGTAGTCATGGGGATGTAGGGTATAGCATAAGAGATATAGTCAATAATATTGTAATAACTGTATGGTTGGTGTCAGATAAATACTAGATTTATTGGGGTGGGTGATAGATGGGAGAGGGGTTGGGAGAAGAAACGAAAAAGGTAAAGGCAGTAAGAAGTACAAATTGGTAGTTACAAAATAGTCATGGGGATATAAAGTAAAGCATAGAGAATATAGTTAATAATACAGTAATAACTAAGTATAGTGCCAGGTGGGTACTAGACTAGTCAGGGGGATCACCTCTTAAATTATATAAATGTCTAACCACTATGCTATACACCTGAAATTAATGTAATATTGAATGTCAACTGTGATTGAAAAATTAAAAAAGGGGCGAAAAGGAGAAGGGGAATAAAAGATTCTAATTTCCAGGTACAAAACAAATAAGTCATGGGGATGTAATGTACAGCAGAGGAATACAGTCAATAATAAGATGTTGAGTAACTATTGTATACACCTGAAATGAATATAATATTGTATGTTAGCTATATTTTAATAAAAATCTTTAAAAAAAAGGCACACAGGCCTACTAAGGCAAAATGGCCCAAACAGAAAAACAAATAAATAAAAATAGCCATTTTCCAATCCAAAGTGAGAAAATGCAAGATGGGCCAGGAGAGATATGTGTTTTAATTAGAATGGGAGACAGATTTTTCTGGACATGAAAAATATCCCTACTAGAAAATGCACCAGCTAAGGATGTCTGTCGTCATATGTGTAATATTATACACCTGAGTGACCATTCTGAAAGATACCTGGCCCATTTCCTTCAATCACAGCACCCACTGGCCCTCCCTGCAGGCATCTCCTCTTTTTCAACAAATACCAAGTAGAAACCAGAAAGATCTTGTTTGTTCTGCTTTTCCAGTTTGACTTTGTCTCTTAGACCATACCACACAGCAATGCACAGGATTTCTTAACAAGTGTCTCTCTGGTGTTTTTCTTCCAGGTTAGCATTTCAATTCATTTTGCAGGAAGTTGGAAGTTCAGAAGTGTTATGCATCTGTCCATCGATTTTTGGAAAATTTATATTCAGGAAACTACATATAGTTTACTTAAAGTAGATCCCAAGACAGAGCTTTTCTCTTTAGTTCCAGAGTGATGACATTCTAATATTCAGCAGGCTGCTTTCATAGACCAGGGTTGTGAGCAAATTCCTATCTCTCTTACTCTAAGCCTCCCTATGGTGTGGTGAGACTTTATGAAATGTGTAAGTAGAAATTGTTACAGGAGGCACAGCCAACTGTCTCCTATCTTTATTTAGGATAGTGTTGAATAAAACAGCATATTGCCCCTACCTTCAATAGGGATGTTTACTAAAACACTGAAATGAATCCAGGAAGGTTGTGGAGTTTCTGACTATAGACATATTTTATAAATATTCTACATATTACACTGGGATATGGGACAAAATATTGATATTTGGCTATTTTGTTATGAAGAAGAAATTCTTGCTGAAGTGCCTAGAAATTAAATGTGAATGTGTATATGTCACTCCACTATAAAAGTTAGGCAAATCTCAAAGGCCATCTTCCAAAGCTAAGACTATCTCACATTTCCAGTTGAGCTATGGACAGTAATGTATCTCCTGCATTTTAATATTTGTTGGTGTCTAATAAATTTTTTAGATGCCAAGAACTTATTTTTATATCTATACCATTTTCTGGCAACAGAGCAGATTTGAGTGGAAGTTGATGTCAGACTTCCAAGGTCATTACATGAGTACCTGGAATCAAGAGATTTTTAATAAGATGAATTCTGAATGAGCACATTAGCATATCAGTCCAGAGGTAAACATGTCTCCTCTCCCTCCTTATCCAGGTAAAACTATCTTTCTATCTCTCAATGTCAGAGGTCATTTGGCTGTGACATAGCAACACATTCATGCAAAAACCTTTCCTTTCTCCAAAGACTAAATATTAGAAAAAGGAGAGGCAGCTCAGACTAGAAGGCTAACACTTATTTTCAAGAGTACTTAGTTAAAACTCATAAATTCCCAGTTGCTTGTGTGTCTCTGCTGATATACTTCCAACATTTCTCAAGTGATTGCACATAAGAAAGGGATCCCTATAATTCAACTTTTTGACAGCCAATTAAGAAATAAGTGACATAGAGACAGTAGGCATTAACTGTGAAGAGCATAGCAACTTTTTAAGAGTTCTGCCAGGACATTTCCTGCCCGGTGGGACATAGCTGAGTGGGGCATGGTGATGCATGGGACTACTCAGGGCGCTCCACAAGAGTATAAAGTATGACTTTTTGAATATGAGTTTTGAGAAAAACAGATCTACCACCCCTTCCCCTCCCAACTTTCTGCTGATGAACTGGTCTCTGTGGTGCCCAAGCAAAGCATAATATTTTCATTTCCTGTTAGAAAGAGGACTCCTTTTGTTCTTTGCTTGAATTTTGGAAGCCACGTGGACTGGACCTCTGAGCTTTGTGGACAATGGTATTCGTGGTGATTTTGATGGTGTGTGGGTGCAATAATGTGAATAAAAATGAAATCAGAGTCATGCACCAAAGCAGAACCCTTCATGGAATTTACATCACAAACATGACTGCATGAAGAAATCTTGGGTAAGTTTGTAGATTTTTTGCTAAATGCATCCATGTTTAAATGGAAATTAGTTTTTCTAGAAAAAGATCAAGTCTTTTAATCTAAATTCTTACTAATACAAGTCACAAATGTTCTAATAATGTACACAGCAAATGGAGTTCAAAGATGCCCATAATGATTAATACTTTGTGAGAAAATCGATTAATGAGGAACAATAAAAATGAAGTGCCAAATTTTCCTTGTTATGCATCAGGGAAGCAGTGTGTTTAGTGGAAGACAGTGAGCTGCTAAGTCTGACTTAGATTTGAATCGTTTGACAAATCATTTATGGTCTCAGCTTCAATTCAATTTCATCAGCAGCAAAATAGGGATGATCATTACTATTTGTCAAGTTTGTTATAAAGAAGAAATAAGAAAATATATCCCATATGAAAGGACAGTGACATACAAACACAAATACTCAAAAAACAATTAATATCAATGCCTTGGCCTTTTTCCTCTCCACTCATATGGACTTTTTGAAATTCAATTTTAAAAATTGAAATAAAAGAAATTAGTGTGCTCAGACATTAGTTTTACTTCTAATAGGATTTTTGTGGTCTGTATCGATGAGAATTGGGTATGTATTTGGAAGTGAAGACATGAAAATTAGGAGAAAATGATGTGCAAACAAGAACTGTTGTAATTATAAAAACTTTATTCACTCTTACTTTAATCCAATCTTTATAAGCACCATGTCATGTACTGGCAATCTAGAAAGAGGATACTGGAATGCTTTAGTCAATAATAAACTGCAAGCTGGTGATGTGAAGTTACTTACAGCTACAGGGAGAACGTGGACTAGACCACATTTAAAAAGGTTCACTTGAGACTCCCACGACAATGCACGAAACAGGAATGTGGCATTGATTTGTCCACACTTTCTATGGTCAGAACCTGAAGCTTGTGCATGTAAACATCCAAAAAAATGAAAACAAAAACAAAAGCAAAACATTTTATCACCTTGACAGTTTACAGTTTGCTAAAGCTTGACCCTGAAATTATAAATGTTGCCATTTTGTTTTCTTGACCAGTGCTTGGTCATAGGCTGAAAAATCAATGCCTTTAAAATTTAAATGATGCTTAAAGGCTATGTTCAATATTGCATCACCAGCAAGGCCTTTGAATGTGTTTGATTCTCATATATGATCACCAAACCATTATCTCTTTAACTAGTGAAATTGTGAAAAATTATACATTTTCAGCAAAATGTTTTAATTTGGTCCTATATTAATAAAGACCCAATTGCCAAGGTGTTTTACATCAATTTAATTCACAAGCATGTACACAAGAGAATCACTATAAAGAGCACTGCTTCCTGATTTATGAATAAAAAGTTTATCCTCTACTTACACTAAAACATACAAAAAATAATCTACAAAAATCGTTTACAATTGATTTTAGTGAAAGAAAAAGCTTTCTTCAAAAAAAAAATGATTGTGGTGGTAGTATTTTAGCCATCAAAAAAAGGAATGTCAGTAACCAATAAATATAATGTGCTTTCTCCATATAGACATATTTACACTTGAGTCTTTGGCTTATGTTTTGTTTTTTGTTTTTCTAAAAAGAACTTTTAATGATCCAGCCATCATTGCACATTAAGAGAAAATAAGCCAGTTATATATATTTATATATTTATATAGAGATCTGCTACACTTGAAACATAAGAAAATGAACTTTACTATGAATTTGCACAGCTTTTCTTTCTTCTTCCTTTAAAGAGTTAACATCTTTTATCTAAAAAAGGGAGAAAAATGCCACATAGAAAGTACTAATTCATGCAACATGTGGTGGCTGCGCTAGCAAAACCAGGAGAAAAACGGCTGCAATTCACTGTACAAACACTGATAAGTCTCATTTGAATCTGGTTCTTATTAAATATAATTTATGTGGCACGAAATGTGGATGCTTTCATACAGTAATAGAAACTAATTGAGTCATTTTTTATTAAGATACACAACTCCATAAGAAAAATACTTTCACCTCTCAAATGGAAAAGTCTCCCGCCCCCCACATTAAAATCTTTCTGCACAGGTGTAATAGGTACAACAGCAGCTGGCTCAACAGAGGAAAAGGTTTCTGTCTGGATGCTGAGGTCTCACCCAGCTAAGATGATTCCAGGTATTCCAAAGCTACATCATAGCAGAAACGGTACTGCTCCTGAAAGATGTTAACACAAAAGGGTTGAGGAAAGTTAGGAAGACCAATGCTGAATAATAGCTACCAAATTAATACTTAGCAAACAATTTAGATTATTCAAGAATTACGAATTATTTTTCCATATACAAGTTGAATATCTGGGCATACATATTTTACATTTAAATTGCTGTTTAAGAAAAAGAAATGATGTAAAAAGATATGTTGTCTTTGCTTTTTATTTTCTACTGAATTAAAAAAATCTACAGTATTTTGAAAGCTGATTATAATTGTAACACCTGATTATTACAGAAAATTCTCCCAATATAGAAAAATACAAAGAGTCATAAAAAAGACTTTTTATAATTCTATTATCAGAAAAAAATTGTTATTTTGCTTCAGTCTTTTTTTATGCATGGTTGAAATAATAATTACATTAGAATAAATATAGTCTTATACATAAATTTGAGAATGTAATTTTATATTTTATTGTTTTTTGTATAACATTATATAACTTTTCCCCACATTATTTAACACCTCTTTAAATACTACATAAAAGTCTAATATATAGATTCTATGACTGTTAGATTGAATTATGTTTTCTTCTATTATAAATAATGCTACAGTGACTAAGTGCAAATATTCTTCCCACACTTCAGATATTTTTCCATAGGAGTAAAAAGGAAAAGAAAAAAAAAAAGCCAGTCATTTCAAACTGCCACTTCACAATTCCAAATTCTTAATTTGACAGTTTTTGGCCCATCACAGTATTCAAGTAATTTCAAAATGGTTAGCTGTTCTTAAATTTTTTGGACCTTATTTATATCTGAAAATTTATTCTTGTCACCTTAATATATTTCAAACAATTTGGTTAGCAATAAAATGAGTTTAAACTGCCTTTCATCTAAGTTTATCTATGTGTTACTTTATTGTGAAGAATTTAAAAAAAAAATCAGAGATTGTGCTACAAATTATGACTTGACAACATGTAATTCATTAAAAACTTTCCAGTTCAATCCAAGTAGGTAAAATTCAGCCTGAACTGGAGAATAATGAAAAACTCATATCATTTCTAAAGTAAATTTCCAGGTGTCTTCAGCAATAAACTAGGGTAATAAAAACTTTCCCCAAGAGGTCTTTATCAATCTTACCCTAATTATCAAGCAGACATGATTTAAATTAGCCTATCTCTGTGACAAGTGCATCTGAAGAACCAAAAACTGCTTGAATGCAGTTATGTCTCTTTAATCAGTTTCTAGCAATTTGGTTTACAGTCTAAATTTCCTTACCAGACTTGTCAGCCTCAAGTGAATACCACACAGAAATAATAATTAACCCTGATTAAACATAAACCCGAGGGTGGGGAGTTTTGTCTGGATTCATGGGACATGAATTAAAGGTAAATATTTAGTAACTCTTTGGAATGTTCTAGAATGTCAGAGTTTAACCATAGAATTTTTTTTAAAGTAATGGTAGAAAATGAAAGTGAAATTTGGAGGTAAATTTGAATTCTGAGGTCAGAAGTGACCCCATTGATGATTTTAAGATAGAGGCAGAGTTTACATAAGAAATCATCGCACTACAGAGTTTAAAGACATAACCACTACCCATCCGTTTTATACGATGACCCCAGTTCTACCTCAAAAATCCCTCAAATCCACCCCCCTTATTCTATCTCCATTGCCAAACACCCCAGTCAAATCCAACATCACCTCGTTTGGACAACTACAATAACCTAAGGAATGAGGTGAAGTAGAGGGGGTCTGAGGACTTGTAGAAGAGGAGAGAATGCATGTTGTAGCTCTTAAAAGTGAGAGGGTGTAAATGTAACCCTTCAGATTTTGTCTCAGGAAGCAACACACGTCTTGTGTGAACAATCCATGAGCAGGAAGTGGTGAAAATACTTTAAAGGTTTATCAAATTGCTCATTTTGGTTATCTGATCATCTTGATAAATGTAGGGCAAGCAACAATGATGCCTTGGTTTTTCTGGTTTACTTTTCTGTGAGTATAAAACTACACAGCTGCTCCTGGCCTTATCCCACCATGCACAAGTGTAACCCACAGACATCTCTCTTTAAAAGTGAAATGTGCTAGAGAAGTGTCTTTCTTGATTCTTCATAGAACTTCACCCAGATACACTCCCACATACAAATACCCATCTGTTCTTATTTTATAAGCCATGTTCTGATTTTATGAGTGCTGGCAAGTTCAGGTAACATCATATGAACTATGCTCTATAACTGACAAAAGCTAAAATTTGTCAATGACAAAAGCTTAAAATTTTATAATTTGGCCAGAAATGAAGAATTATAAATAATGACTAAAAAAAAAAATTCACTTGCCCTTTAAAAACATCAGATGTCTAAAGTGCTGATGTGATTTATGAATATATCTCTCAGATTAGTTTTATCAGTTAACTCAGTATGCTTTAAGAAATAAAAATAAACAATAAAGCCTAGATAGCAGGATTTATTCTTATTATAGAGCCATTTACCAAACTTTACTGTAGCAAATGTTTATTGCCCACAACAGGGAGGAAAAAAAAAATAGTCATGCAATTTCCAAATTAAGTGAAAAGAGTTCTCTTCATCCTTAGCAGTTTATATAATATGTGATTAAGTTATGTGGGTAAAGGGGAATACTGGGCAATTCATCATTTAGGCAGGAAAGTCCCCACAAAAGCTCATTTACACATCTGATTCCTTGTGTGCCTATGAAGTCAAATCACAAGTAGGTAAATGACTGACTAACCTCTATGCTCCCTTCTACCTCTAAGACTGACTTACCGGAGCCTCCACCATGTTGGGCTTGCTGTTCCTTAGTGTCTTGACCGCATGGAACACATCGACAACATTTTGCCGTTTCACCATTTCAACAACAATCCCTATAGCACAGAACATACCACTTCGCCCACCACCATTTCTGAAACCAAAGAGAAAGCAAAGGCATTTTAGATTGAAGCTTTTGGTGACCACAGGTCATACAATTATACATGTTTGGGAAAAGAAAATATTATCTTTTTCATTTTTGTCAATTTGTGTCTTCATTTACTTCTTATGTGTGCAGGTATGGATACAGGGCAGAGAGGAAGGACACTTGAAGATGATGTTAGCTCAGTAGCTTGTGCTTAGGCATATACAATAGGCAGAGATTGCCCCAACCTAGATACTACGTGATTTTGACAGATTTGTGAACTGTAAATCAGAAAAGTGGTTCAGGATAGTGTTCCAAAGACTTTAAATCATATAAAAACTATATAACAATCAATTTTTAAAAACATACAAAAATTAAAGTTAGGTAGTAGTTAATTATAGGATTAGGAGACAGGGATGCTGTTTTAATATCTGTGGAGGCTCATAAGATGTGAGCCAGGTACTCTTTAGCATAGAAAACATGAAGGCTAACAAGAAAATGAACACCAAGGCTCCCCTCTATGGCCATGCCACGCCGCCATACTCACAGGCAGTGGATGATCGTCCGGCCTTCCCCTTCCTCACATTCCTCCTGCCACTTTTCCACCTGCAGTATCAGTTTCAAAAAGGACCGTTTGGAGCCAGGCACTTCTCGATGAGAAGCCCACCCTAGATACTGAAACTGCTGTACCATCAGATACCCTTCCTGTGGCTGTGAAGGAAAAGTAAGTTTCATGTAAGTTGGAATAGGAATTTTACTAAAAAGTTGACACCATGATATAAATGACATTTACCTTCGATAGAGACTATATGTCCTAAATACGTACATGCCCGTGTAGAAACAGTCTAAGTTACAGAAGCAAGAAACATGAGAATTATCCTTTCGTGCAAGGTTCTCCCTCATATCCACCATCAAGTAATCAATTCTTATGTTTATACTTAAGTAACTTTTAAATTCATTTCTTCGTTATCACCACTGACTTCATTGCACTCCCAGTCACAAGTTATGATAATTACCTCCTAGTTGATCTCCCTGAATAAACTTGGATCTCTTTCCAAATCATTCTTATTGCAGGCATCATGCTTATTTTGAAATGCAAATTTGATCTTATTATTCTTCTGCTTTAATGGCTTCCAAATGATCTTAGCATAAAATCCAAATTGCTGCCATAGTTTACAAATCCTTACATAATCTGGCTCCACCTCCTACCTCAAACTTCTCTCTACTCTAACACACTATTCCAGTGCCAAACACATTGGCCTTCTTTTAATTCATTTATCAAGTAATTTATTGCCTAGGGGACTTTGCACATACACTCCCTTTTGTCTTGAACATTTACTTCTTGCTTGCCCTTCTCAATTCTAAATAGTGACCAACTTGTTTTGGGTTTGCCTGGGACTTTTCTGGTTTTAGCACAGAAACATATGTGTCCTGAAAACCTCTCTGTCCTGTGTAAAGCAGGATAGTTGGTTATCCCACCCCCAAATAGTTTCTACTGATTCTTCAAATTTTGGCTTAAATATCACTACCTCAAAAAAGTCTTCTCTGATCACTTAGCTATTTCAGATCACTCAAACACTTTGCATTCTGTATTTTTTTTCTCTGTAGAATTACTCATGTTTGTAAAAAATTGAATATACAATTAGTTGTTTAATGCTTGTTCCTTGATAAAATATAAATTCTTTAAGCACAAGAAAAATCTCTCTTTTTCCCCTAAACTCTGTAGTACTTCACCTAGCAAAAAAGTTCCAAAGAATAGAATTGTTGAATGAATGCATAAAACCTGACACCCTCAAATAAAACTGTTAAGGGAGAATACGCAGTACATGAGTAAGCCATATTGTACGGCGTCAGATCTGAGCCTCCATATGGCTCATGCATCTTTTTGTAGGATGAGGACCTAACTCGTACAACACCCAACTTCTTGTTGGTGTATACTAAAGATTTAATGAAGCGGATGACATTAAATAATGAGATTGGGAACAGGAAAAAAAAAAACCAAACAAACAAAAAAACCAAAAAAAGACCTGCACTAATAATACGGACCAGAACACCAAATACAGAGGAGGATAAACAAACAAATATGCTGACAAAAAAAAAATGTAACATGATTTCAGTTCCTGTTCCTAGAATATTTTTCATGTAAATGGCTCAATTGCAGACAAGTTTTACTTTCTTAGTTTAGCAGTTATGGTTTCTCGGCTAAAATATTACTAGACCATAATGTAACAGATGTGCAGACATAATGAGGTTTCATTTAAATTAACATCTAAGATATGCATGAATATTATGACATGACTGAAGTTATTTTTTTCCTCCACTAAAATGAGCAATAGAATTGGATAGGATTTTATCCTCTGTATATATATATATATATATATATATATATATATATATATATATACTTATTAACTAGAATCACATACACCCATTTTGATATGAGAAACACTGAAATATGATGATCCTATCACACGGTTAACATAATACACATTCATGGAGCTGCCGCTCTAAAAAAACAGAGTTATATTTCTTTTAAAAAAGAGAATAATTCTATGGAAGTTACTAATGTTTTGTTTTCAAAGTCGGCTTGCTATTTGGTTTCATAATCTAATCAGTTTTTAATAATACTTTTTTTTTTGAAGGAGAGACCCCAAACTTAATTTGTCATTTAGTGCAAAGCGCATGAAGAGTCAGAAAATAAAGACTCCTGGGGGACACAGTTGCTACTTTGCTCCTGGGAAAGGGCACAGTGGTGGCAGCACTGGTTCTATCCACAGATCAGGGCAGAGTGAGATGCTGGAACAGTTAGAAAGATACAATGGTAGGTGGGAGATGAATCAATGATGCCTGTGATTTACCTTTTCCTTCATGCCTGGATTCTCCTTTACACACAGGACTTGGAATAGTGACATGAAACCCTTCTATAATGGCTGATCTGACATAGCTTTCCCCCTTGAGGTAAAGCTCCTTCTCTGTCATTATTATTATTGCATTCTAATTTTTTAACTACATGCTTTTTTCTGAGCTGGATGTCAATATGATTATAACATGCAGTCAACGTGGAGATACATCTATGTGTGCTCAAGAGCCTTTACAATCCAACTCAATTAAGTCAGTGCGTCCAAATCTAGATTTTCAGGTGGAATACATTAGTCCAGCAATTGAGCAGGAAACTTAGCTTCCAGTGTTTCTGCTTTCCTGTGTCTAGAGTACATTTTTGTTCTGGTACTAAGATATAAGATAATTACCAACTTTGGGACTCATTATATAATGCTACTAATTCTACTTTCCATGTTGTCTGGATGGAGTTATACCCCGTCATGTTGTGTTCCACCTAGTCTGGATCAGGTTAGTTAGAATGATTAAACAGCGACTTACCCTTGTTAGATTGCATATCCTAAAAATCCTGTTTATCACATCACAATCCATTGAACAAGACATACATTCCACTTGGATAGGGCCATATCGTAGCATCCCTTCTTCTGGCCAGTACTGAGGGCAGCCCTAGACAATGAATGTTTTGAAGGAAAAAGAGCATCATTTTTTAAACTAGGATTGTATAAAGCAGATTTTGGCATTTTTATTACTACATTACTAAGTTGTGTATAAATACACAAAAGCAACCCATAGCCATTAACCTGGGATAAGTCCACTTCATTTAACATCACAATGGAAGTACAGCCATAATCATACACCAATCTCCAGAAGTCCTTTACAGTGTTTGGCAGAGGGTACTGTGTGACGATGAAGGCAGCTGGCTGCCTGTAGCTCTGTGAAGAAACAAGGTAGATGGAGAAACATAAGAACTTATACTGTGAAGGATTAGAGGTAAAGCCAAGGATTCTGGGATTTAAAAAATACAATCAGTTGTATAAGCAGATTCAATCCACTTCACTGTAGGACCAGTAAGACATAATAGCTTCACATGGAGATGGAGCCAGATTGCTGTACAAGGCATGGAGTGAACAGATTTGGACCACGGGAATGTACTGGAACTAGTAATTAGTCAATCCGATGCTAATACTTTGATGTTTCAATAGCAATTCAAGTCAAGAATTTAAGTTTTACTTTGTTGAGAAAAGTAAATACAGGACAAATACAAAAGAAGAAACTAAAGAACATTTTGAGGTTAAGATCTTCCGTGAAGTACCTGTCAGGCTGTTGCAGGTTTCCAAAGGTAATCAGCCTGAGAGGCTGAAGGCAAAGTAGGCATAAAATTCCCTGGTGTGTATGTATGTCCCTTTCTATCAATCATCAATCAGCTGCTTGGCTCTACTCTACTCCAAACAAGAAAAAGCACATATGCCTCAAATTCATGTGCTGTCACATTATATGGATATTATGAGCCCATTCTGTACATCTTATAGTGAAACCACTTTCCTTAGTTGTCTTGGCATTTCTCATGTATATCGATAAATACAATGATGGCTTTAATTCTTTAAAGATTTTCAAGTACCAAAGAGTGAAACCAATGCACTCCTTGGCCCCATCAAAGAGGAAATGACTCCTCATTTGCTAAGTGATCCTTCATTTGGGACACAATAAATTATCTTTTTCCAGGAGAAAAGATGATGCTCATCTGGTCTGGTCAATCTCTTGTTCTGCCAATAGCCATTCTACACTAAAATAGAAATGCATATTTCTATGTAATAACTTCAAATAATAATTTTTCCAAAAATAAAATAAAATAACTAGGTAGTTACCTGAGATAGACTTTCTTAATGCTGATAAAAATTGCCAGCGATCTCCTAACACACTTGCATCATTCAACCCTCTCTTTAAGTCCTGTAAGAGGCTTAACCTCAGTGTAGAAACTGCTCCTTGAACTCCACTGATCCTATTACCATTTGGAAATTGTTGCCAATCATGGCATTCCCCTCCATGGAGGACTGTAGGATAAATGTGAGGAGATGCTAATTCACCTGGCTGCTTCTAAATGACCTCAACCTCTTACAAAGCCCCATCTGCAGATCGAGGGAGTCCCTCCTAAGAAAGATATGAAGTTGCATGAGAAAGGATCAGAAGAAATCAGCTTTCCTTCTAATGAAATGTCTGCTCTGTGGGAGGGTAAGTCAAAGGAGGCTGATAGCTATTAACTTAGTTTTTGAATCACAGGGGCGGGAAGATGGAAGAAGAGGAGATGATAGCAAGGAAAGACTAGATTTTCTACTTCTTTCAAAGCTCTGTAAGTACAGGAATGCATCTAAGGCTTTTAAATCACAGAATCCTCAGCCTTACTCTGAACCTTTGTAGGCATGGCAAAAGGGTCTATAGCACTAATTATGGGGAAAGAAGGGAAAGAGAAGGGGGGCAGTGTTGACCAATGAGCCCTGTTCTCATAAGCCAAATCAAAACTTCCTTTTCTGAAGCCCCAACTATACCACTAAATCCACAGGGCAGTTTCTACTATGAAATGTATCTTTGTTGAATCATAGAGAATGAAGCAGAGTAGGAATAAGTAAAGTACAAGGTTCAGTCTTCATAATAACTGGAAAACACCATGGAAATCAAGAAAAATTTGACAGAGATGCCAAAGACAAAAATGAAAGGCATCAATATTTTTCCTCCTCCCCTTTTCCACTCATCCTTTTTTCATTCCAAATCTAGACTCAGAAGCATAAAGGTCTTGAGTGTCTTCTCTCTGTGTTTAGTATATTTACCTTTCCAGACAGTTAAAATGGGAAGAAATGGTACAATGAGAATCCATGTGATTTCAGTGAAAATGATTAATGACGAGGCAAGGCTCTGGTCACAGCAGGAATGGGCACTTTTCACTTGAGCTTGCGTTTGGACTACTCTGCTCTGCAGCATTAAAAGGAGCCAAGTCACTGGTTAGAAGACTAGTCTCAGAAGTAGAATGTGGGTTTTCCTAAGTCTCTTACCGGAAGCTAACTTTGGAAAACACAACAGGAGCTGACAACTTAGAAAACTTCATTGCTAGTCACAAAGGAATGATCTTTGGCTTCTAATTTCTTCTTACTATGATTCCAAAGGCTAAAAAGCAAAAACTAGAAATGTGTATAAAAGAAGGTGATAAAACTGTTTAAAAGGATTCTGAGCCTTGATAGCCTACTTGCTTCTTTCTAAGGTAACCAAAGCAAGGTGGCTAAAGACATAATTTAAAAGTCTCCTTCCATGTTGCTCTGTCTATGGGATGCCAACACGCTGAGTACATGTTCTTCCACCTATGAAGATTGGAATGAGGCAAGTCAGTCCTTTCATTCTGATGGATGTGTAAACATTATATCCTCCATGTCTTCCCTAGTTACTTATAAATAGTATACTAACTAATGGCTAAAAAAACAAGTTAGCTCTAAATTACTGGAACAATAAATGTCAGAGATAAAAGTTTCCAAAATTAACATAACTTCAGAAGGCTATGGCATTCTGTGGTTTTTAAAACTCCTTCCTAACCGTATTTAAAATACGTAAGCATGATTTTTTGTGTGAAAATGATTAAGATAAAAAAAAAAATCTCACCAGAAGACATTTTCCAATTTCAGAATATAATACTTGACAATCAAGCTGTAAATTTACAACAAAGCCTAAAACTTGCAGTTCCTAAGAATGCCTGTAGGGGAAATTCAAAATCATTCTTCAACAAACTTGTATTTCAATGAAAGTTTCTAAATTTCCTTTTTAGGCCATTTTGATTGTCTTGAAAAGAAACCTAGCCAGTGCTCATTGCATTATGTAGCTTTTCATGACACTTTACACTAACAAAGGGAGCAGTCTCTTACATCCATCAGAGCAGCATTGATGTAGTTACTACTCTCCCCATCAATTGTAATTAAAAAAGGCAGACATCTGTCAGGTGGTAGCATGTCCATGAAACGGTTCTTGTCATGGTTCCTTGGCAGGCATGCTATGCTGCAGTCTTCAGCTTGTAGTCGAGGGGTGACTGAATTCAAGGTCTAAAAAGAAAAGGGAACCCAGGTTAAAAGACAGTGGCCCATTTAATGGTGCAACACAGATTCATCTAATATTTAGGAGGCCCACTAGAAAGTAAAGGATTTGTACAAGGCAATGGCATTTGCCACGGTGACAGGCTGATAGACTTTGAAGCTAAAGCTAATGAAGCCTGAGAAGTGACAAAGAAAAAATATATGCACTGTTCAATGTGCTTCTTAAAAGGAAAAGGAAAACTAAACAATATGGCTACCTGCAAAATGCATGCGTAAGCAAAGATAATGCAATCAGTATCCCATGATAATGAACCATCATCAAAGTTGAAAACTATAATTTATAAAAACATTGGTGTGCCCTATTTAAAGATATACTGTGGCATGCTGGAAAGAGCACTGGGCAAAGAATCAAAGTACTAAGTTTCTAGAGGTGCTTCTGACTTCATAGTCACACATCTTCATAGGTGTTTTGAGGGCCACATAAACATTCAGGGTTTTTTAGAAACAATGTTCAGCCTAAACTTCAGCTATTATTATTCATGTGCTTGATCTCACATTTTGAGCAGCATAGAAAGCTAAAATCCATTATACTGCATAAAAAGGGGCTGTAAATATACACAAACCACCACTAAATTTGACTTTTATGTTAAGTTTTCCCCATACCCTTCCCCGAGTCTGAACTCATTTTGCCCTTCATGAGACAGCAGATATGAGCTCATTAATACAAAAGTGACTCCATAATATGTGTAATGAAAGAGACAGTCATTATATTATACTTAAAATTGGGTCAAAGGTTATAAATTTGACTTGAAAGACCTTCTTTAGAAGAATTAATAATGCCCAGAACAAATTGAAATAAGTTGCTCATAAAAGAAGGCCCAGAAATAGTAAATACCTGGAATTCATCTTTGAGATGTGAAGAGTTAGTCTGGGAGTCTATTCTAATCATATCAAAATATGCAGCTTTAAATTCACAGACAGGTATGGCAGTTTCTCCACATAAGCAGGCTTCTAAAATGGCATCATGAATAAAAATGTACTGTTCCTATCAAAAGAAAGAAAAAGAAAATCTCTCACTATTTTAATAAAACTTATCTGTCATCAAAGGTAAAGAATGCACAGAATTTTCTCTTCATGAAATATTAATAAAAACACCAATATTTTCCTACTGACATGTGAAAAACATTCACTCTTTTATTTGAAAATGTTGGGAAAGGCTAAAAAAAAATTAGAGGTAAATCAGCAATCAGCATACCTCTGTCTGGACCATATTGATACGACGGGATCTTAAGGCTTTGACACAGTTGTAGATGTCAACAACACCCTCTCTTTCAGCCATGTCCAGCATGATATCAATCACAATGTAACAGCCAGTTCGTCCAGCACCAGCACTAAAAGAAAATTAGACAAATTGAGGATTGAACTGAAGAACTGCAGGGAGCACGTCTATGAAACTTGAAATAAAAATCTTTTCGACTTTCAGAGAGGTGGAATCTAATTTAAGAAAGTACAAGACCGCATAATTTGTACATATTGTACAAACACTTGCTAATGTCCAAAAAAACTTCATGTAGAGTATCTGTTTCAGTATAATCTGAATACTGGAACAAGAGTTCCAAATTATAGGATATAACTTTCTAAATCAAATGGTGTTTTAAAAACAATGTATACAGAGGATGCCAAAAAATGTATATACATTTTAAGAAAGGAAAACTGTATTAAAATTGTAATACTCGATATATAACGATAACAAAAGATGAATACAAGTCACATTTGACTTCTGCAATTACAAGAAGTGCTCAAAATGGTTACTTATCATCAGCGTCCAGACACTTCTGATTACGGCGAACTACTGGTTGAGCAACGTTGACCAAAGTGTCCACAAAGTATACATTTTTTTGGTATCCCTGGTATATATCATTCAATTTCTGTAGCTCTTATGTAAATCAAATATACATTATTTCAAGCTCGTAGAATTGATCAAGGGGTGAAATCATGCTTTAAAAGTTTAACCCCAAATTGAAGACTTTTATACTCATAGTTGTAGGTTTTTTGGAAAAAGTCAAGACTGCTGGCTTTTAGACAGAAGTTATAAATACCAAGGCAAAAGAACACGAATTCCAAAACTTTTAAATGGTAAATCTGAGGAGCCACAGGGCAGGAGGAAATGCTAATGTAATGGTGGGGAAGAAAATGGTGGTTTATCAATGGGAAGGAAACAAATATTAGAAAGAATATTTTTGAATGGTGATCTGAAGGAAAAATAAAAATGAATTGTTACATATAGAATAAAATTCTTAACTGGTCACTAAGATAGCCACTATCTTATGGTATTTAACTCACTACTTGATGCACGACGTACTGTTGATTATTTTACCCCTTGAGAGTGCTTCTCCAATTTTATGTATAGAAGTCAATGGAACAAACAAGATGTAGTTGGGATTTTGGTGGGGGAGGAAATTCCCTGTGTAGTCAGCTTTCTCCTTTCCATAAATCCAGAGATACCTGAGTCTAAGTAGAAAATGACACTTCTGTTTCAAGCGAGTATCTGAGAATCTTGGGGCACTTCAGAAGCAAGCGATTCATAGGAAAGTGAACACCTATGATAAGTCAAGACAGCCCTGCCTAAATTGAAAATCTATTGATCTCATTTCCCAAATGCATAAATAGACTATTAGCATTATTTCTTTGTTTTCTAGATTTGGTCACTTCTCTTAAACTCACTGTTCTTTAAGAAATTTAAGTAAAAGATATCGTGGCTATCTCCATTTCTTTCTTTTGCCTACCGTCTCTCAATCACTGTTCCCAGGGTTTGAGGCAGGAAAGTAATTGAAGAGTACATCAGATTTCTTGAGGAGAATTGAATTGAAGATTTTTTTTTTCAGGGTATACAGTATCTGATCCTTACGGGATGACTTATTCTGTGTGTCCCCCCACCCCACCCCCCTTTTATACACGGTCATTTAAATTCTGAATAGGTTGGATTTTCAGAAAGAAAAAGAATGCTTAAGTACAAACTGTTATGAGCTTGGAGGAGATAGCAGATGAGAATGTTGTGCAGAATTTACGAAAAGCTTTTCAGGTTTAGTATATATTTTTCTGTTCACATCTCAAAATGAGGCCATGTAATTTGCTTTTAGTGTCTCTCAATGCTTGTTTTAAGAGAAGTTTCTAATCAGAAGAAAGTCTTGAAATAATGTTCATGTTTCTCTGTCATGTATTTGCTGGAACTCACTAATGCAGTTTTCAAGGTCTTCTGACGGATGGCTTTTTTTTTTTAAATAAAAATCTTAAATAGCTGTTTTATAGCAAAAATTCTTGCAATTTAGGCCATTTAGTAACTCTGTATGTCTCAAATTTAGTTTTAAAAGCTGGGATTCTATTGGGAATTTACTAGATTGGCAAGAAATCTCTATTTCAACCTACCAATCCATACGAGATTTGCAAAAGCAATAAAAATAAATAAATAAATTAATTAAAAAAGAAAAACAGATGTTGCCACTAAAACGCAGTTTTCTACCCTCAGAACTGTGGACAACACTACACACATTCGGATGAATGCATTTATTTCTTATGTTTCTATTTTATATCCTCCTTATGGCTAACTTTTATTTTATTGCTGTTGTTTTACTTTATCTGTAATACGTACAAGCTGGAACTTTGTAAGCATGCATTAATTATTGTGCTTAAAAGCCTTATCATGATACTTTTTTTTTATAAAAAACCTGGCTTCACACAGTCGACACCATTGGGGAACATTGCTCACCTGCAATGCACAACGATGGGGCCAGCACTGGGGGGGTTAGAGAACTTGACTCGGCGGATGAAGGAAAGAAGCCCCGTAGCATGATAGGGCACTCCGTGGTCAGGCCAGCCAGTGAAATGGAACTGTTTAACTTCACGGATCTCATTGTATCCCCTCTGTGCAAACATGTAAAGAAGTGTTTTTAATGGTCCAAAACAAAGTCATTAAACACAGTCATAGGTACTAGACCTGATTGACAACAACAAAATAGAAAATTTACCAAGATCATGCTTTTTCTGAAAAACGGTGCTGGCCTGACATGGCCTAGGAGCTTACCTTTATTGTCAGACAATTGTCAAAGAAAGAAAATTAGAAGTCTTGCTCAGTTTTATAAGTCTGGCTAAATTTTACTTACTCTGACAGTTTGTTCTTTACTGGGAATGAAAGCACATAAAATTATTAGGGGAAAAGGAAGAAATAGAAAAGCTAAAATGCTGCCCTATTGACCCAATGCACTGAGTTCTCAAATGGTGTATAAAAGCAACATTCTAGCTTCTTACCTCACAAAGAGATTTTAATGCCTTGCTTATCCATGTTGAAAATAGTTTTGAAGCATAGCATGTAGAGATTTTCCAGGACAGTGCTACTCTAGATTGCTTTATAAAATATACAGACAGCTAAACTGTTCTTTGGGCCGACTATTTTTCTTAACTATGTGAAATAATTCAGCACACAGAGTATTATTTATTGTAACAAAAATGCAAAATGAAAGAGGTGAAACACCTTATTGTTGTGCCTCTCCTCTTACTGGGTTAATTGAGAAGAAACCTTTAAATGCACATTTCAAAACTTTCTTCTTCTTCTTCCTTTTTTTGTTTTGTTAAAAAAAGCCTGTGGGTTATGGTAGCACAGCTTCAAGATCATAGATGAAGTGCTGCAGAATTTATTTTTCAGAATCCATATTTGTAGCAAACAACAAAAACAAAAAAATCTACTATAATCTATATAATTTCAACTCTACTTTGAGCTATCTGTGAAATCTCAATCTCTTGTTCAGTCAGAATACATAGAAAAATTGCATGAAACAAATAAAATAAATTAAGAAAATTTATTTTTAGATTCTATCCTGTATAGAACAATATCACTTGGAAGCCAGTGATCATGTCTTATTATTCATTTTAGTTATAGGTCCTAGCACAAGACCCCATCGAAAGCAGGGCTCAACAAATAATTATAGTAGTGACAGTGAAAAACAACATCATGGAATCATACAAATGGAAAAATCACATGTGTTACTACATTTAAAGTCAACTCTAATGAAGAAGGCCATATAGTGTTCTAAGATTTGATTTTAGGCAATTAATTCACCTTCTTTCTATTAATCCTTTTACTGGAGTTCCCATCAGGGCCTTTCCTGTTTTAGTAAATTTTAATATCTGGAAGCATATGTTCCCTTATCACTCTTTTTATTTAAATTTCCCTAAGTAATTTTCAAATGTGTGGCTAAAAAACAAAAATGCTCTTTTCCAGTTTTAAATAACAACAAAAACATATTGAAATAAAAACTCAGTGATATTCCAATTAGTATTGCATTAAATCTATAATGTGGCATTAATAACAAGTATTCCCATTCTGGGGCACAGCATATGTCTCCATTTATTCACACCTAATTTTCTGTTCTTCAATACACTTTTGTGGTTTTATTCACCTAGGACCTGTATCTTTCCTGTTAAATATATTCTTAGATACTTTAGAACTTTATTATTGTGAAAGATATTTTTTAACTGTCTACCCTATGTTTATTGCTAACATAAAAGTTAGGATTTATGTATATGTATATTTATCTTGAATTAATCACTTAAATAAGTATTAGTTCCATTTAAAAATAGTATCTTCAGTTTTCTTGGTTATAAAACATTTCATTTTGAAATAATTTTGTCTTTTCCAATAGTTATGCAGTTTATTCCTTTTGTTGTCTTATTTCATTTGATAGAGCTTCCTAAAACGTTGACTACTAGTGAGAACGATTATCCACATCACATTTCTGATTATAACAGCAATGCCTTTTGTTTTTCGTTCCTCAACACACATGATACTAATTATTATGGAATCCCCTTATCATGCTTAAGAAGTCTCCTTATTTTCCTCATATAGTTAGAATTTTATTATAATGCTTTTAAATAAAATTATGTGCACTACAGTATCTATTAATAAAATCACATGATTTTTCTCCTTTAATGCACTGACATAATGAAATATCTTACCACAGTTGTAATATCCTTGCGTTCTTAGAAAACAACCATGATAGATCACGTGAATCATTCATTCACGTCTGGATATAAATTTTTAATATTTTATTTTGAAGTTTTTTCAAGCCTTTCTTGAATGTAATTGGTTTGCAATGTGTGTGTGCACACACTTGGGGGAGGGGCAGATAGAGAGAAAGGGAGAAAGATAGAGATGAAAAAAAGAGAGGTGAAGAGAGAAGGGCTTCTTTACCTGGTTCTGTTAACACAGTTATGCTAGCTTTTAAAAATACATTTAGTTGGTTTTAATGGTTGTGGTCTAAATAGTTTGATTAACACAGGCATTAGAAATTCTTTAAAGATTAAAGAAACCTGGGCCGGCCGAGTGGCGCGATGGTTAAGAGCTGGCTTGGGACGTCAGAGGGCCCCGGTTCGGATCCCACATATGAGGGCCAGTGACATTGCCCTCTACAGCTAAGATGCTGAACAACAACTCAACCTGGAGCTGGGCTGCTGTGAGTCACCGGCGACGGCGTAGGCTGCAGCCCCTGTGGCAGTGGGTGGCCATGGGCTACGTGTGTAGCCAACAGCCAGTGTGAGCGGCCAGCAGCCGCAGTGAGCGGCCATCCAGAAGCCAGCGACTGATCTGCCTCGCCCGGGAAGAGCACAATGATGGTGCCAACTTGGGCCAGTGAAGCAACATCCTCCACAACTAGACTGAAGAACAAAACGACAGCAACTTGTCTGTTCCCCTTCCTCCAATTCCCCAGCGCTGTTCCCATCCCCCGCATTCCCCAATAAAAACCAAAACAAAAAAAAAAAGATTAAAGAAACCTCAACTATAAAACCATAATGCAATTTTAATGGTAAATTTTAACAATCATTCTATTTTCTTCTATCATCTGTTCAGATTTCTGACTCCGGTTCAAATTTAGGAAGTTATTATTTGCTAGAATATCAGTGTATATAGACTAAAATCTATGTCTCTAAGTTTATACATAATATTTTTTATAACTTTCTTAATAGATAGTATAACTAAAGTTACTTCCCTTTTGTGTATTCTAAAATGCATATTTTGTTTTGATTGTTGCTCATTTAGAATCAACAGTGGTTTATTTATTTTATTGATCTTTTCAAGAAACTAGCTTTTTGATTTATTCTTTTTTGTGTTCCTGTTTTATAATTAAATTTTCTTTTGTTTTATTGAGTTTTTAATTTTCTAATTTAATAACTTTCTACATTATCTAAACAGAAATTTAAGGATATATATTTTTTTAAGGTGATAACTTCTGGGGAATTTTGATATAAAATTATTGGCTGTTATAGTATAATTTTAGAGGTACTTGTTCATTCAGGATTATTCAGAAGAGGTTTTGGTGATTTTCAAGAGTCTAATTTGTGGGGTCATGGGTCAGTAATTTGTTATTTTCTGTTGTATTTTGGAAACACCTTGACTTTCTGTTATGTATTCAGGTTTCCTTTATAACTAAGTTCATGACTGATTTTCATAAAAATTTCATGAAATTACAAGAAGAATATATATTCCATATTCTCTCTTTCCATAAAAATGGGATCCAGTTATTCATTAAATCAAGCTTGATGGTTCTCTTTTTGAAATCTCCTTTATCTTTGCTTATTTTGTTCTATTGATTTCTCTAAGAAATTTCCATAGGTCTTTTATAATCGTGATAATCATAATAATTATGCTGTTCTGTATAATGCTACTTTCCATCTAATATTTCTAATTATTTTTAATGTTGGTAAAAATACAATAACATTTGTAAAGAATGGTATTTCTAGATTATACATGTATAATAATGTAACTATCTTCCCTACTGCTGGACATTTAATGTCATTTATAATTTTCTAAGACTGTCAATCAAGTTATTGTATTTTAAATATACTCCTTAGGATAAATGTATGGAAGGTAAAATTCTTGGTCAAAGGACATCAATATTTTAAAGCTGTGTAGATATACAGTGGTATATATGTAATGGTATCGGTAGCAACGTGTTTCACTGCATCTATGTCTTACTTCAATGTCCTTACACTGCCCACTTTGTTTTAGTCTTTCTGGTCCTGTTAAAAAGAAGTCAGATCATGTTACTTACTCCTGGGCTCATAACCCTTCAATGACTGCCTGCCTTACTTTTAGTACAAGCTAAAATCATCATAATGGCTTACAAGACCTCATTTATCTGGCTCTGTGATTGATCTGATTTCATCTCATATTTCTTTCCCATCTCTCAACACCCTAGATTCCTGGCTGTTTCTCATTGTGTCAGGAATACTCATGCCTCAAGGTTTCTTGAAATGACTCTTCCCTCCATCAGAAATATTTTTCCCTGGGTTAACTTCCCTGGGATGTAATTCTTACTGGAGATATAGTTGTATCACTCACTCACTCACTTCATTCAGGGCTTTATTTATGTTACTTTCTTAATGAGACTTTCCAGATCATTTCTTTAAAATTGTAAAACATTCCTTCCTCTACTTCAGCAATATGCCCTACTTACATTCCCAACATTATTTTTCTTCAGAGTGCTTTTCATAATATATGATGTATTTGCTTATTTATTAATTTTTATTGCCTGTCTCCCTTCAACAGACTATAAGCTCCCAAGGTTGAGAAGCATGCCTGGCACACGGTGTGCTCTCAGATAAATATTAGTGGAATGGATAAGTGAATAAATGCATTTATAGCATCATCAAAACAAACTTGGACAGGGGCTTTAAGAGAAAAAAAGTGTTTCAATATACATGTTTTTAAATAAACCTTTAGAAGTACTTACCCTTTCCAGGGTGAATGTCCTAACTACATATTCTGCAAGTGGCTCCATTTCTACACAAGTTACTTTGAAGTCACCATAAACTTCAGTATCATCAGGCCAATACTTATAGCACTTAACCTAAGTGACAAAAAGAATTCACAGGTGAACCACAATACATAATACACATGAACCAAAATGGTTTAATTTCAGTGATAACTTCACACCACAGTTAAAATACAATTAAAAATTTTAAAAAATGGCACAAGAATCTGTTATACAATAAATAGAAAGGCTTTGAGTAACCTCATAAAAATATATAAGCCTGATAATGCAATTAGATTCTAGCATATAATCAAACGTTATTTTATTACTAAATGAGAAATCAAACAATTTTTCAAATCAAAGTTTCACTTAGGGGAGCACTCATTTGATATGCTATGGCTATAATTTTTGTCAGTTGAATGATATTCTATTTTAAGTTTGTTATGTTTTGCTATTCAAGTTATACTCACTCAGATTTTATGACATATGTATATATTTATTTCCTCTTACCCGGCCAACCTCAACTAAATTTGTAACCATCACAATGCAGGCAGATTGTTCTTGCCAGATCATTCTCCAGAAATCATACACTGTTTCATGAACTGGGCCTACGAAAAAATTAATGTGAATATAATGTTATCAGAGAAATTTTGTAGTTAGTAGGAAATTTAGATAAGATAAACAGCAATGTAAACTAAATAAGCCAAAAAAAAATTCAAGGTCTAATACAAAATGTTACGAAAAGAACTTAAATTCAGTTCATATCTAAATTCAGGCATGCACAAGTTTGTTTTTCAAATTGTCTCCCATACTTCCCAATTTAGAAGATACCACTGGTTTCTAGAGTATTTATATATGTCACTAAGTTACTTTAATGCATCTTCAAATATATGTGAAAATAGGGTGTCTTCTGCCACCATCAGCCAAACAGTACATATTACCAACTAAATATATGCACATCATTTATAAACAGTGCATGTTCAGGTGTTCATGAAGAAACATCATACATGTAAGGGCACACTGTAACCTTATCCTAAATGCAAAAACATCTACTGGGCCCTACTCTACTCATGACCATAAAACTAGAATATTGTTCACCATGGGTAATCTTTCTAATTTTAAAGAGTTTATAATTAAACTCAATTACTCCAAAAATATGTGAAACCACTTAAAAATGACCTCTGTCAAAAGAGCAAAACAGCTTTTGTTTTACTTCCCTCTCTTACAAAATAGGTGTGCAGGTTTCTCTTCTGATGGCCAGGGGTCAATATGGAGAAAGAACTAAAGGTGCTTTTGTTGTTGAAGTTAGAAATACTTTTATTCCCCAATGCACCACTATAACAAGATTTCTCTACTTTCTTCTTATTTTCCACAAAGAATGAACTTGACAAAATTCCCTGTAGCCCTGTGTTTTGTCTCATCCTTGACTTGTAAAAAACACTGCTAGAAGATATTCTAACATCTCATTATAACAATGTTGGTCTTGGGTACTACTACATTCCAGGCTGACAGACTCGGGAAAGAAAACAGGCACCTTATGGGAGTGGAGACCTCCTGTGCTTCCATTAAAAATAAGTAATTCCTCTGTCCAGCACTACTGACTAGTGCTCTTCCAAGAGTCAAATCACAAAAACTACTAGCAGCTTCTCTTTTACTTGTAATTAAAAAAAATAATAATAATAAATAAATAAATAAAAATTAAGCTTTAATATATATACATTTTACACAGATAAAACAATCTGTATTACACAAGTGAATAGAGAGCAGTATTACTCAGAAAAGCTGATTTTTTTTTTTTAGATAGTTAAGGCAAAATTCTATAAAAACACCAGATAAATGAATAAACACATCTGGTTGTTCTGTAACATTTAAAAGGCAAAGTTTTGGGACGGCCGAGTGGCGCTTTGGTTAAGAACTGGCTTGGGATGCCAGAAGGCCCCAGTTCGGATCCCACATATGAGGGCCAGTGACACTGCCCTCTACAGCTGAGATGCTGATGAACAACAGCTCAATCTGGAGCTGGGCTGCCGTGAGTTGCCGGCATCGGTGAAGGCTACAGTCCACTGCTGCAGTGGGTTGCCATAAGCTACTGTGTGTAGCCGGCAGCCAGCTTGAGCGGCCAGCAGCCGCAGTGAGCGGCTGTCCAGAGGCCGCGACTGATCTGCCTCACCCAGGAAGAGTGCAATGATGGTGCCAGCTTGGGCCAGTGAAGCAATGTCCTCCACAACTAGACTGAAGAACAAAATGACAGCAACTTGTCTGTCCCCCACCCCCCGATTCCCCAGCGCTGTTCCCCTTCCCCAATTCCCCAATAAAAATCTTTAATAAATAAATAAATAAATAAATAAATAAATAAATAAATAAATAGAAGGCAAAGTTTTACCTTGTGTTGCAATGTAGTGGCTTGGTCTCTGGTAGCCCTACAATAGAGAACAAATTGGTCATAATTTTACATCAGTATCAGAAATAAATGAATGAAGGCATAAAAAGATGAAGACAACCACCTGTTAAGATTAAGTTATAGTAAAAAGTCCAGAAATGAGTAGTGAACTCATAGTTCACTTCTCAAACCTAGGTTATCTGAAAGGTAAAAATAAAACAAAAATTAAATATTTAAGGGCTCTGATTTGAACAGAAATTGCATTACTGAGATTTGTTTGCTAGAGAATAACCTCATAGATTTTGTTTGGTTTCACTAAAATGTTTATGCCTTCATGTTAATCTTTAGTCATTCATTCCTTGCAAAACTGTGTTCGAAAATACCAATCTTCCTTTTATCATCCAAAAGTACAACACACTGCATTACAAATGGACAACGACAGATTAGAACCATAAAAAAAATAACAGAACATTCCAATGTTAAAGCTGGACAATGCATGTGTGCATCAAATTCAAGTCCTGCTGAGATTTTATGGAGAATATTCCTGTTCTCTACTATGTTCAGGAATCTGCCAAAACTATTTTGTGTGTGTGCTGAGAATATTAATTTACACACACATAATTATAGGTACACACATATATAGGGAAAGAAGAGATTTAAAATATATACTTTATCCTGAACAAAAATTTAGTACTTTTTCTTCTTTTTATAATGTGCCCAGAGCTCTCTATGTGGTTAAACATTCAATGCTGTTTCAATAAAGACATTAGTCCTGATAAGGAGTAAGTTGTTAGTTGCCCTCAATTGGCTTGAATTTTGAAAGATCATGAGTCGCAAAAATGTTAATGGCATAATAGGGTTGAGCTTTCCATCTGTTGTATATTTACCAAAGTGCTTTGGTAAAAGCCTGTGGTACAATTCATCCACGTTTTGGTATGGGCAATTCAATACAAATATAAATGCATGTAAACTGAGATCTCCAATCTAAAATTTAATAGGTTGAGCATTACGCTGTTGCAAATTTGAAAGTTTTCTATGTCTTAATATACCAACATAGCACAGTATTTTATGGAAAATTTTTCCCCAAGCTTTATAAGCATTTCATTTCCTGTTTTTAATGAAAAAAATTTACCAATTGCCAGAATTCTAAAGAGTAAGTGTAACAAACTAATGTGAGCGGGAAAATTATGAAATAGTGTACAATCAGCCAAAATACACTGGGGCCTTAAGGGAAATATTGGATAAAAATAGTCTGATTTAGAACACACTTTTAACATATGAACCATAAAATACAATTATAAGAAGGCTCCAGTGTATATATATCTTGGCAGAAAACCAAGGTTAAACTAAATCGGTAAGAACACGTACAAATTTGGCAAGACGTGTTGGTTTTTTTATTCTAAAGTTTAGACCAATAGTATAGTTTTCCATGTTAAGATGTCTGATAAATTTAAAGTATTCAATGACAGCAAAATGAGGATCAGAAATTTAACCCACATGCTCAGAGGCTATACTTAATAAAATTTATTTGTTCAAAATTATAATTACAATTCACAAAATAACTGTAAAATGTGAACTTAGATAAATTTGATAAAAACTGTTACCTCCTTAGGGAAATCAGAAAAAGTTGGGTCCTAAATTTCATATCTTTTATAGATGCAAATGTATACACATATGCTGTAATACTTGATATTTCTACCTTTTGCCTTCCAATTAATACATATTTTGAAGTGATTAATTTTAGCACACATGATTTGAATTATTATTACTTTTTTAATAGCTGAAGTTTAATGAGTGCTTAATACATGCTAGGCACTGTGCTCAATGCTCAACACACATTAATTATATCATTTAATTCTCACAACAAAGTGATAAGGTTAGTACTGTCATTATCCCCACTGTACAGATGAGGAAACTGAGGTTCAGAGAGATGAAATAACATTCCCATGATTTCCGATGTGATTTTGAACCAAGAAGTATGAAAAAAGAGCCTGTCTTTCTTATATGTAATGTTATGTATTGCCTCCTTAACAATATTTTATCTTTCACTTGAAATTTACTTTATATTAAATAAAGAATTTTCATGTAGATTTAGTTTAACTAAAATTTACAGTGAAATACATGATCAAAACAAGCTTTTTGATTTGTATGATTCAATATATATGTGTGATATGTATATTTTACAAATGCAATTTGGTAATTATTTTGCCTAAGTAATTTTAATGCTTGACAAACCAATACCACACACCACAAAACAGTCTCCCTACCCATTATTCACATCAGAAGTCAAATATAAAAAGTAGAATTTCAGAAACACTAATACACATCATACTATCCAGCTTCTCACATATGTTTAGGGAAGGGTAAAAGTCAGAAACACAAATCATCAACAAATAAAACTCAAGTACATAATAAATTGTCAAAAGCTAAAAATGGTCCTGTTTTTCTAAACATAGAAAAGGGAAGGAGATAAAATAGATCTTTACACATGTAAAGGGGTTACAGAGAAATGAACATAGATATACTGTATGAGGCTAATTAGGTGAAGCATGCAGAGATAACTAGTAGTAAGCATTAGTAATAACTGTACATAAGAGTAGTTACAGTGAATATTGATAATAGGTACTGTTATTTACATATAGTGGTACTTACATCCCTGTACAGCCAAATCTACAGCCCAAACCAAAGTCAGGTGTGAAAGAAAGCACAACAACGTCAGTAAGTACTAGGATGTGGAACAAGGAAAAGTGTACAGTTTGTTCTTTATTTTACAATGCTAGCAATCACTTTACAGGTAATAATAAGCAAAAAGATTCACATATATAAGCCAACAATTTGGGCATACTAAACTATAAAAATACTTACATCTATATAGTTGGCGTTAATGTAATCTGAAGAAGGGTCATCTTCGACAGGTTGCAAAATTACTCTGGAGTGATCATCTAAAAATTTTAAATAATAAAATACAAGCTATTAAATATACCCCCCCCATTCTGAGACAATGACATTGGTGGAGGCCTGAAATAATTTAATGGTTGATAAGTGCTTACCCACAGTACACTATATAAATTTTCTTAGACACCAGTCATTTGAAGAAATACAAGAACTTTAATGAGCTCATTACTAGTAATTACAATTAGAATGTTCTGTTAATAAAGCTTCAATGACTAACATCGTCATAGTTAGGAAGATTTTAGGGGACATGATAATGTCTGATGAATAATCATTTGCGCTATGGACTAGGCTCAGGAACTAAACTTGCCTTAACTCCTAATTTGGCTGCTTTGGCATGATTTTAAATGGATGGGATCCTTTCACCTGCACTTGACAGCAAATGAGCCATGGAACTAGGGAATAAATTTTGAACCCCTGCTCTCAACTTCTTATTTCTTGAGAGTGAAGGTTAAATTTTGATGCACTCATAAGATACTTTAAAATACTTACATTGAGAATAGAGTGGCCAAAGTAAATAAGTAGCTAGTTACCAGCTAAATTATGTTCCTTTCCTTGCTGCTTCTGTGGTTTCCTATGATAATTAATTTACTTATCCATGTATATATACATCTTGAAGACTCAAAGAGGAGGAAGTTTCTAATGATAAATAACATGGAGCAACTGGAGTTCAGACACTGGCTCCAAGGAAGTGATAAAGCGATGCAGAAAGAACTCTCCCACCTTGAATATGTTTGATGGAGGTGTTACAGCACTTAACAGAATTTCTTTTCATTATCCTTATATTCTCAGCTGTTTAATAACACCCCATGCATTGGTGTGCAAATATAAAATCAAACAGAGCTATCTCCACAGGGTAAAGAGTGTGAGTCAATTTAATTAATGAAGATGATGACAATTTCTGAGACAATGCCAATAGCCAAGGTTGTTTTAATATTAAATAGATGACTATATAAACAGATGTGCCAGCCTCTGGGATTCTCTTAAAACAACTTACTGTTTATCTTCTACACACAATATTTATATTTACTAAGAATTATATGAGAACTTACATGCTATAATGTTTCCATATCGGTTTTTTGCTCTATTTTGATCTTTTTTAGCTACATCCCAAGATGCCGACTGTCCTTCAAAGAAGCTCTGGGGGGAAAACAAAAATTAACAAGTAGACTGAATTTAATTCCTTTTCACCAATCAGGTTTATCTGTTCTGCAGACCAAAGCAGTAGAAGCCAATTTCTCAGGGAGAGAGTCCTACAGTAGTAAACACGTTACTATTTCAGACCTCAAAGCTTGTTTGCCGGAACCTCTACTTGTTCATCTTGGATTGGACTGAGTTCAAATTAAGGACAAGAAACAGCTTTAGACAAAAAAGGACCTTAAAAGCATTTCAACTTTAAGATCGCTATAACTTTGTGAGATGAAAGTAGAAAAAGCATCAAAAACTTCAAAACTGGATTTAATGAATTATTTTTCAAACTTGCTTCCTTTAGCATTTATAACAGGGAAAAAACCCCCAACTTGTTTTCTGCCATAGCTATTCATTAAATCATGTGCAATACATCACATTTCAGTTTCTTTGAAGATCATGAAAAAGACTGAGTCTCTACAACAAGGGGCCATATGAAAATTAAAAAGAGTCACCATCTCCAAGAATCTGGGAACAGATGAATTTGTTGATTGGTTTAATGACCATATGCAGCAATTTAAAATATCGGTATAGATTTCTTTTTGCAGAAAAACTTTAACTTTGCTCGACACAGGAAATGGGGTCTTCAAAGAGTCAACGGTCTTTGAAGTGAGGTACACAGGAATACACATGAAATAAACTAGAAGAACCAGCTCTGGCAGAAGATTGTAATTCCTCGCACTATTTTGTTACCACAGCATAGTGTTTCCGGCATACATCTAAAACTAACTTGCAAAATTTAAAGAGAATTGTATTCACTCCCAAACTAAAGTATACAAGTAACCTGTAAAGAAAATGTAAAGAGTTTAGAGGATGCCTCATGAAGTTGGATGTGTTTTGAATGGCCTTTCAAAGTATATAAATTATTGCTTAGACTCTTGCACTTTAAATGTGTGTGTACGATGGTGCTTGTTTGGTGGTGGAAGAGCTTCCTTCTAGGCCTCCGGCTGATATTTCTCAGTAAGTGAATGTGGAGAAGGAACTGTTTCCTTTGTACTGTACTATGTTTATTGGGATGTTTAATTTAAATCACATCCCTTGCAGTTGAAATCGTGGTATTTGGGTTTGAATAGGAAGGGGAAATAAGGCTGGGAGAATGCTTTTTCTGGTTTCCTAATGTCTGGATGTGCAGTGCTCTGTGTTACTTCTCAGCCAGCCTCAAATAATAATGCACAAAGCAAAACTAAAAGTGGCAATTAGTACATTTAGAACACAAGGCTTGATCCCATTTCTCAACAGAGTGTCAACAAGCAAAGAGGCAGAAAAGTACCTACAGCTTAAGTCATTCAAATGACAGAATCTATAATGATACAATGGGACCAAGGTATCTCGCTATGAATTCTTGAGGAGGGAAATATTCCACTCCTTGTTATGCTAAAGGGAGGAAAACTGTTAACTTCCACTGTGTATCATGGTTAGAAGTAAAATTTAACATAGTATTGAAATGTCACCTCATATTCCTCTTTGAACCCATAGCTGTCTGATGTCTTCATGAGATTAATGTGCTGCAGTAAGTCGGCCACCCTGATGGCTGGGTGCAGCTGTCCTGTCTGGTATGGGGACTCTGTCCCCTCACAGAGGTAGCGAGGTACATCAAGAAGGCGACTGGACTCTGCTGTAGCGCTGTGGTTCTCATCTGGTAATTTTCAGGTTCAAGAAGATTGAAAAAAAAGACAAAGTTACCTTGTTCAATATGTACTATGCGAAGAAGATTTTAAGATCTCAAGAGCTTTCTGATAACAGGAGGAAGGGAAAGAAATAAAATGTGGGCCTCGGGCAGCCTCCCCATAAAGACATAGCCTTTTTACTTCAGCGCAAGGTATGAGGTCAGAATACATTCGATTTATATCAGCAAGACAACATGTTAGGAGACGTAGAGATATCTGATCCGGTTTTTAAAAACATAGTGGGTGATTTTGCTGGGTTCTTACTTCTTTCTTGTATCTGCAGTCATAGCATTATAGAGTGGGGCCAGAAGTTCAAGTTGTCATTGGAGAGGTGTTTTCACTGTCGATTAAATTGAACAGACTACTTCACACCCATATCCCCGCCTCCCTGTAGGCAACCCATCCCCACAGGGCTGCTCTTTCTGCCCTTGTGGCTCTACTGTGCCCTACCGCCGGGTCTTCTTACCATGACACACGCCAGGCTAGGAAATACGGGCACTCTACAGAATCATTCCCCGGACCCACCGTGCCTGCTAGTCAGGTCACACATGCATTTATACTCAATCTCTACCCCCTTGATTTACTATTATCATTGTGGTTTTTATTGTTAATATATTTTGACTCCTCTGGCTTCAATGTGAGGGAAAACTGGTATGTCTCTGTAGGTACTTCCTGTGGCTCCTTTCCTGGTACACCCAGGCTGAGCTACACAGCACTTGCTTTATAATTCCATGGCCTCTTGCTCTACATTTATTTCATTCATTCTATATTTTAATCATTTGTTTACTGGTCTATTTTCCTCACTAAACTCTGAATGCTTATAGTATAGAGACAGAGTCCTACTTTTTCCCCCCTAGTGTCTGGTGCAAAGCAATCAATAAACATTTTCATGAATGAATTAGTTAAAATCAGTTGAATCCCTTACCACCCACATTTAAGTGTAGGCCCCACCCCAATTGTATGATTAGCTTAAAATGAAAAGAAACTTTTAAGCATCTTTATGGCATAAGAAGGAAGAAAAGAACAAGAACATTTTACCTATGAAGAATAAATATTATTTTAATGACCATAGTACTAATCATTACAATGAGAAGGAACATGCTTATCTTTATCACATTTAAACTTACCACTAGAAAAAAAACAAAACCAAAACCAAAACCAAAACAAAAGCAAATGTTGTACGGGGGTGTTACTTTGAAAAGCATTCTATTGCCATACTCATTAACAGAAAAGAAAGTACACTCTTAGGGGAACTTTTGTTTTAAATGATAATGCATACTATTGAGATGATATTTAATTAACAGTTAAACATATTTCAAGTGCTGGTACATTTGCCTGTTCTATCACCAACTCTACAAATAGGATATGGCAAAAAATGAATTGTTGTCCCCATGATAAACATTTTTTCTTCCTGGAGAAGGGAAAAAAAAAAAAAAAAGAACCCCACAATCAGATTTGTGTGCTTCTGTAATTTAGCTTGATTGCATTTACTTTACTAGGCTGAAGGCATTTTTTTTTTTTTGCATTTACTTTTAAAAATACCACATTAAATAAAAAATACCCTTGGTGGCTTCTGCTGTGACCTAACCACTCAAATGAATTTAATGCCCTTTATTCAGGTTTTGCCCACCCCTCTACAAACATTTGCTAGCAAACATAATTCATGAGATTTTCCTTTGAGACTACACTCAATTGATCTACCCTTGCTAATATATCGCAATTGATAAACTAACCTAAAGAATATAAACATCTCCTCAGTAAAATTAAATTTGAAAGCTACTGAGTTGGGCACTATCACAGAATACACAGTTTAAGATGAGGAAGTAGAGAACAAATAATGTCAGAGAAGCAAAATGCATTTACCCACGCTGGAATCCGCTGCTCTGTGGAGCAGCCCCAGAGCTCACATTATGACTGCTGAAGCAGCAGGGTATTTACATTTGTAAAAGGCTCAGTGAGAAACACAGAATTCACCATATTCCAAATCTTACATCATTATGTCCCAATATGAAATAGACAGCATCTTTTGTTTTGCGTTAAGGTTTAACATGGTAGTACAACGAGCAGTATTCTTTAAAATAATCACACATGAATTCTTAATCTCAATACATTTCCACCTCATTAAGCCACCTAATAATGTGACTAGTAGTGAGTACATGTACTCATCATTATCCTTATTACACATTTAAGAATAACAAGTTCAAGTATTTCCTTGATGAAAAGGTTTTCTAGAGTTCTTTGCAATACACTTACCAGTTATAGGGACTTTAACCCAATGAAGCGGTAAAGCACAAAGAAACACAAATTCATGAATTAATACGAAGTTTCTAAGCTCTTTTTAAATCAGTAAGTAGATATTAATATCAAGCAATATTTGAAGTGATTTCAAAAATTGCTTTATATACACAAAATTAGTTGGATGCCAAAGAACTATAAACACCATGATTCTAAGGATGATGAAAAATGCAACAAATCATTTCTACATATGATAAATGATATTTGGCTTTTAAAGAAGAAATATATATTTTTTAAAATCAACCATCTTGACTTTCAAAATGAAATAAAATGCATAATGACTATTTATATAATACAAATAGGTTTGATGACCCTATTGTGTTAACTCTAGTCATCCTTAAACATAAATATCCCTTTTCACAGAGAAACTTATTACAATAACCTGTGAAACTTCACAGTCTGTACAAACTCATCTACATTATCTCTTTCTTTATAAAACTTGGTGGCAAAGGTATGGTAGGAAAGAGTATACTGTTTTACAGATGGGGAAATAAAGACGGAAGGTATTTTCATTATATTGTGCGTCCACAGGAGGACTGAGACTTGACCCAATTCTACATGTTCTTAAAATATTAGTGTATTGAAATTTTAACATTTAGGCAACTAATTTTTTTCCAGTGAGCTTTTAATACTTTAACTGAATTTTACTTATTAATTTGCTGCTGACAGCATTCTACAGTGCTCAACAGAAGATGACACTTTCAGAGGCATTTGGTGTCTGCTCAATTTTCGATTGCAACTCCTGAGCCCTTCCCTACATGATCAGGAAACTCCCTGAGACAAATTCCTCAGGAAACTGCGCTGCCATTATTTGTGCGGCATTAAAGGAAGAGCGCATGCTCCAGAGACAGAGAACATTGACTTTCAGATTCTTTTAGAATACATAAATCTAAACAATTATTTTAGTGAAAAAGAGGCATATTTTACTTTATTGAATTAGTGGTATTGTTCCAAAATATTCTGAAAATGTAATTGAATGTTGAATATGTGGATACTAAAAACATGCATAAAACGTATAAGCTAAAGTTTTATGTTCACAAGGCATTTAAATATAAAACATGAAAACCGGGGACTTTTAAGATACATTTATCTAGCAATTTCCACATCTCTTTGGTTAAACCTTAAATATTAGAAACAGTGGGGTAAAACTGATGTACAACTTGTGAACACATAAGCAAGTGGGTCATGAATTATTGGTGTAAAATCAGTCAAGGAACAGGGAACAAATTGAAATAAAGCTCATTCCATTCTGAAATATATAATTAGATTAAAAATAAATGTAATTTTACCTCTGAAAAGGACTTATTCATCACTACCAATACTAGTTGTCTAGATGGTATATAGTGGTAAACCCTGGCTTATTCTAAATTTCTTGAAAAATAACACTTATTAAGGTGCATATAGAATGCAAAACTCTGCATAGATATTGCAGCAACTTTATCTGTATTTATAAATTCTTAATAAAGCCAAAACTGAAGCAAATTCTAATAATGTTCACTTGGAAAGGTATTCTTCAGTTAGTATAAAATTAGGATGATTTAGAAATTCCCTTTACATCAAGTAATTTTTATATGTAAACTAATTATTCAGGTAGCACTGAGCCCTGATATGTGTGCATTTGGCTCCATTCTACTAAGCTGCATATATACACTTAAGTTCATATTAAGGGCCACTGTACTTTTGCTCCAAGTATAACAGAACTAAAAATTAATGAATACGCTGCTTTAAAAAAGCATACTTTACTAATTTAAAATTCACTAGATCTGATTGGGTTGGCCACTGTTGTTCTTTTTTGATAAGACCATGATTATATTTTTTTTAAATCAAGCTGCATCCTGCGCTGTAAATAATGACTCTGTTGACAAAGTTATAACCCACGTAAGGAGGTTTGATCCATGCAAAAAAAAAAAAGATTAGATAAAGAATTAGGGCCTCACCTAACACAGCAGTCGGCACAAGTGGATCACTGGGCACTGTATGTAGGAAAACAAAGCTCATGAAGGAATATATTGCCCTAAAGTTGTAGTTTACACTCTTTTTTTCCCCTTTAAAAAAGATATATGGTTTCTTAAGAAATGTAATTATTAAACTTTCTTTGATTACTATAACCTGCAAACATAAAATTCTCTTTCAACTTGGATTATCACAAAACACCAGGAAATGTCCATCTATAATTATAGTTCAGTACTCTGTTCAATTTAAAAAGCCAGGAAGATTCAATTTGACATTATAAGATATAAAATTAGGGGGGAAACTCATGCAGTTTAGGTCTATCAAGTGCAAGGTATGTAGAGAAATAATTATCTCATATTCATTCCAAATATTTTTTTTTGTTAACTGTGGGAAATAGATTTAATATCTTCTTCAAGTTCATACATGGATATTTATAATTGCATTGCTGAATTAAACTTCCTAATAAGGAACAAACATAGGCAATAGAAAAGTTTGGGAAACAAAAATCTTTCAAAACCTTAATTGATTAACTATTAAATCAAGTTGTTAGAGAGTTGGTACATCTATGTTTTAGCAAAACTTATTTTCAATAATTACATGTTATATTCTTTTCTATCATTTATCTTACAGAAAAATAAAAATAAAATATATTAGAAAGACCCTATCATGATTACAATTAAATTCCAAAATGACTCATACAACATTTCTAACTACTTTGATTAGATCAGGGAAAATGATGCGCTGCATTTAGGGCCAATAATTTCCAAAAATTTTCACAGAACTGAACGTTTCAGAAAAAAAAAAACATTCCCTTTCTGAAAAAGACATAAATACATACAACCTACAAACACTATATTTTTTCAGCCTTACCACTACATATGTTTACAACCTGTATAAGAAAAAATACTTCTATGGCTTACTTCTTCCCTTATACACATTCTCCAAACAGGGGCAAGCAAACCTCTGGGATCTGTGGCAGAATGCCCCTGTGTACACAAGGTGAAGGACACACATGATTTGCCTTCCTCAAGTGTCAATTTTACTTGAGGATTTGGAGAAACAAAGTCATGTAACTTAAAATAACAAGGACAGTGCTATAGAAAAGAATATCAAATTCATAGGGGATTTGAAGATTTATATTGATTGTGGGGCAATTATTCAAATCAAGTGCTATTAAACAGTATTTTAGTAGCAATGTTTTTAAAACCTTGCCTTCATAGATCAATATTAGGAACTCTTAAGATGGATGGAGGGATAGATGAGTGGATGGAGGGATAGATGAGTGGATGGATGGATGGATGGATGGATGGATGGATGGATGGATTTCACCATTCCCTGCCAATCCTCCAATTCAGTTAAACTTTTAGACTTCACACCAGATATTTAAGTAGTAGGTTTCTTTTTCCCCTAGTTATTTTTTTGTTAGTGAAATTCTCCAGGAGCCTATAGAAAATTTTAATGAAATAAATGTCAATAATTCTGAGAAAGAATTATGTTTCTTATCTCACAAAGAACTTGATCGTGTATAAAGGAAGGCTCAAATAGCAAAATAATTATAAACAAATTCTGATATAAACTAATTTTATGTAGGCAATCAAGTATTTTAACTTAAAGCAATGACATATGATTTGGTTTGAGAGTTATATAAATGTATTTTATGTTACAGCAATAAAATTCATGCAGTTTGAAGTTAATGTAAATCTAGGATCAAGACTGAAAATAAGTTCTTATAAATTCCATATTCTCTATCCTAGCTGTTTTCTCTTCTTACCTGTTTCTTCCATCTCTCTTTCTTACTTTCTCTCACTATTCAAAAGGTAATGTGTTGAATTCTGAGTAGACTTAAAGAGCTTCAAAACTCATTTATGAAAATTTGAATTAAGAACTTACATCTTGGACTAAAATTATGTTGATCCATGAAGGTGATGGAAAGAGGATCTTCTGCATGCAGCGTGCTCTGATCAGCGTAACTTCGATCCATAGCGTTCACCATGTGGGTCATCTCCTGCCGCGTGCTCCCCAGAGCATCTTTGCGTTTCTTAGCAAGCTTGCTGCCAAGGCAAATCCAAAAGGAAACCTTAGTGTGAGGTTTTGAAGGAGTGTTGACACCAGCAGTAAGTTGTTCAGGGAAGCCCACGGGTAAGGACACAGAAACTCTAAAAACTGGTCATGGTTTTAGGAATTAAGTTGGACATTCAAACAATATTTGTTGGTTACTGTGAAACTTCTAAATATTTGTCCTATAGGTATTTCGACATTCAAGCTGTCAAATCTTATTGTTTCTTGTATTTTATCATTAAAATAAATTACTATAAACGATAACTATACCTTATTACTTCCTTATTAGAGTTGTTCAAGAAAAATTTAAGCTAAAACTAAGTTTTGGTTTTCCTCTTGGGCGATTAATTCTTTTATCAACTTTTAGAAAGTCTTCTGGAGAATAACGTGATTACTTTTTCAAGTTTATTTTACCATAGCCATCCCATCAAAATAAACAAAGCAATCCATTCTTCATTCTACAAACTCCAAACACTTTATTTTTTGTTATTCAATAAAAATGCAACATGTGTAGCATTAACATATTTACCAGTATATTTTAACATCAATCCCAACCTAATCTGGAGATTTACAGAATCAACCACAGCTAGATATAATGCAAATACATGGGAAAATAAAGTACTTTGAAAAATGCTATGTAGATTTTATTACATAAATGATCATAATCTTGAATTGCAAACAGTCAAATCCTAAAAATGTGTTTTAGAACCACATGGCAGAGTATCCACTATAGAAATGCCTTATAAATTCAGCAGGGAAAATAACTTAGGGGACTTGGAAAAATAGAAAAGTTAGACTTTTGAGCTACTCAAATACTAACATATTTATCTTATATATCAAGGATATAAAATATATTCTGGTTCTTTGTGACTGTTACACATGAAACATGCAGTAAAAATATTAAATGTATATAAAACATTTATATCACATTAACAAGGTGATTTACATATGTTCTAAATAAAGGCACTCTAAAAGCTTGTGGTAACCAGATTATGTTTCTAAGTTTATGACAGCAGTTTACGTTGCCTTGAAATAGTCTTTAATTGTTTTAAGAACACCATTTCTCAGCTAGATTATTAGCTAGGACATACTATCTTGATTCTCATTAGTAACTGTACTAGAGTAAATACACTACAAATCCTTTCTAAAAGGCTCATTTAATAGTTGTGTTTATGTTCAAAGGGCTTTCCTTTTAAAAATTAATCTTGCAGTTCGATAGCTACTCCCGTGTAAGACCTTTTACTCTGAGAATTACAATACTTGACTTCAGGGGACATATACCCAATGCACCCAATGTGCTGACACAGCAGATCTGACACCTAAATGAGACATTCATAAACTAAGCTTTAGGGATCAAAATGGCATTATTATTATTATTTTCTTTTAGAAATAATAATGATGACAGTGCTAGTAATCAGGAAACTATGATGAAAGGGTAAGAAGCATCGCCAGCACCACTCCTGCTATCACCACTACACCATCACCACCACCACCGCCAGCACACCACCATCATTTACTAGCAATATTCCATCTGTTCTTTGAAAGACTTGTCTTTTTTTTCTAGATGAAGTGGTAAAATCTCTGTAAAATCTTTACACATTTCAGACAAGTAACATAAAGGAGTGCTACTGCCCGTGGTAAGACGTCCTGTGGATGGGAGGGGGCTGTGGAGAACTGGAGAGCAGCTTAGGGGCAACTTGCCAAAGTGACTATTGGTAATTGAGCCCAGTGTTGAGCTTCTGCTTTTTAAACTATTTTTTTAAAGAGAAGTTGTGAATCTGAATATTTATGTTAAATTTCCTGAATTTCTTTTTTCAAGTGGTTTGATTTTTTGAAACAGTGTGTGGGGCAAATTAAACATCAGCAGGTCACATTTTTAGGCTATAGACGCCACTTTGTCACTTTCCAACCTTACCATGGGGTTGTCATATAGGATATTCATTATTTGTCCCACAATGTTTTTACCTCTACTATCTGGTTAACGTCTATTCTCTCACAGCAGTATGGAGGCTTCTCTGACTAATCTCAATACAGCCTGTCTCGGGTTAGGTTTCTCTGCTAGATGTTTTTATAGCACCATATATATGTTTTCTGCCTGTAATAACACTCATCTAATATCATTGCAACTGTCCTTTCAATTGTTTTCCCCACTGTGCGTTCCATGAAGGGAAGAACCATATGTATATTCCTAGCACTTAGAGCAGTGTCTGGCACATAGCAGGCATTCAAATAAATACTTGTTGGATGGATGAATTAGGCCTGTTATATGCTTGGCACTTTTCATTTGTTAATTAATTCTCAGATCAACCCACTGAAAGAGCCATGAGAATTCTAGTAGTATAGATGAGTTTATTGAGGCTCAGACAAGTAAAATAACTTGCCCAAGGTTATTTATCTAATGAACAGTGAAAAATGAGCTGGTTCCAAGGCCTAAGCTCTTATACTATATCCAGTTGCTGACATTTTTTTTAATGCCACATTATAAAGTACATTATAATATAAAGCATTTACTTGCTCCAGGAATTAAACATTAGTTGTTATAAATTTAAGAAGGATGTTAATGCAGCACAAATGTTTTGCCATTTTAAAATTTTAAAATAGCAAAAGATAATTTAAGAAACAACCTCTAATCTTTGTTTCCTTGGCAAGAAGAAAATGAATTCATTCCTCAAACATTGTAAGAAATGGAATTGGATAAAAGTAACTTGAAATTTGGATTAAAAATAATGTTAAAATTTTGAAGATGGGCACATTCAAAGCAAATGGAAAGGGCATCTTTAAACTCTGAAGATTTACTTAAAAATATACATTAATTTATACATGTTTCACAATTAAGGAAAAAATACAAAGTAATGAATTTGCCAAATGCATGACAGGTAAACGTTTTCATGGAAATGAAGGATTTTTACTTTTCAGATTCACAAACCTTTGACAGTTGTCAAATTACAGTGGACAGCCATGTATTATCAGCTTGGTTCTAATACCTGAATTCTTACAACAGCCCTAGAGGTAGGCTTTAATTCAGGCTATTACAAAACAAACACAAATTCACGTCAAATTTAAGTGTATTGATCAAGAACTGAGACTTACTATGATGATGTCAAATGAATGTTAGCTCAAACAATGCATCTGATTTACTTTTAAATTCTACTTTAATTTATTTCTACTTTTATTTTAAAAATCTCTAATTCAGATTAGCTTCATTAGGTATGTTCAAGCAGCGTTTAAAAGCATATCTCCATGACATACTTTCTAATCATGATTAATAACGCCCATAGCCCTATGTATTACAATAACCATATCAAAATCTACTACCTAGTCTAGGGTACTGAAATGTTATCCATCTGCTAAAAAGTCAATCCCATTCTAACATTATCAATACATAGATGGTTAATGGGAAGCTTATTGAAATTCTCATAATTAGATACTTATTGATTTCTGCATGGTTGATGCTTTGTATCCCTGTGAGCAACAAGCATATATAATATACACTTCAGGACAGTTAAGCAATTCATTTTGCAACTACTTGAGTTTGACAGATGTGCAAATGACTTTCATTATCAAAGCAGCCAACAGCATAAACTTCTGCAGGTGGATATATGGGTGGGCTATAAAGAGGAAAAGTGTTCCATCATTATATGAAATGGTACAGTTAATTACCTTTGGCTTCATCCAACATGATTTAACAAGGATATTATGATTCATCACAATAAGCTAGGAGCAGTTAGTTTACACCTGCTTGTTTAGAAAATTGTAAGAAGCCAAACGTTTACAATATTTAAAATGTTGTAATAATTCTGTTGTAGTAACTGAGACTCAACAAATTTTGTTGTAAAGCTAGCTTAAATTTACCAAGTGAAATAAATACAGTGGGATATATGCCCCAAACATATGTAATAATAATCCTTAAGCCTTGCATTGAACAAGTAATTCCCATGAGTACTTGGTTATATAATTTCTCTGTTTTAGATGAGTGTCCTGAAATCTAATGTAATAAACTGAAAATGACCAGGGAAATAGAATGGACAATACTTTCCATCTTTATCCAAACTAACATTCCATATCTCATTACAGGAGGAGCTAGGACCTTGGTAGAGAAGAGGAGATATGTCACATCTATGTATGTTTTGCATAGGTTGAAGAGGCTTTTTATTTTTTATTTTGGTCTTGGTTTTAAAAAATAATAGTTCTATTTAAGTTAAAATAAACAATTTTTCTTCTCTAAAAATAATTTTTATTTCTTTGTCACTGCAATATTATGATTTTATGCATTTGTTTTCACAGGAGCATACTGACTGCCTAGATGGCCAGGCCAAAGGTGTTCATCCTGAAGTTTTAACCCATCCTGAATTCCTGGATACATGGAGAGAGATGTTATCACAATCATTTCCGATGTGATTTGCATCCTGTGGATGCACTTTTGAATGTTCTTCTATGAGCACGTCACTTGGGTTATTTTGTCAAATATAACACTGCTACACAAAGATAGAGACTTGTGAGTTATAACCACTCTCTCTACCAGATGAGTGAGGCATCAGATTGATAAGGTACAGGTTTGACATAAGTAAATAAATGATGTTTTTGGCTATAGATTAAAGCTACTTAAGAAAAATTGAAAATTAAAATTAAAAGTAGCTGAACATACAGAAATACAATATCCCTTTTTAAAAAGATTAACAAAATAAGTTATTAGGTAAACATCATAGTTTTAGAGCCCAGAAAAACATGTTTTTTGAAATGTCACCAAAATTGCAAACATCTTGCTTTTTAAAAAATTTTGTTTTGTTTTTTGAAAAGGGATACTGCATCTTTAACACATGTAAAGTCGTATATCACCCATTTTCTACTTACAGGTAGTAGGAGTAAGAATAGTAGCTCCTCCTGGCAAGCAAATCACAGACAGTGGAAAAAGAGAAGCAATGGTGAATGAAAAGCGTGACTCTGTCACATTCAATAAAGCAGAAAAATGTGCGTTAAAACAAAATGAAATAAAATAAAATCCATGTTTTGTTTTTTTTTTGGTTTGCATTTCAATATGCTCATGCATTGTTTAGATATATTTGCCATGCAATTAGACAGATATGCAATAGAAAAAAATAAAGTTTAAAATACATAATTGGGAAAAAAATAACATGCTGATATATTTTATAGCCAAAAAATTGAAAAATTAAATGGATTGTGTATTTTTAACATGCAGTTAAGCATAATATCATTCATTAGTATCTTTATGTCATGACAGATGGAACAGCTGTGTATAGAAATTGTACACTAAATTGACTATTTTTCTACAGATAGAAAACATAAAGATCTATTACGTTAAATAGAATATATGCAGAATGACAATGAAATTTTTATAAACAAGTTATTATATCTTAATGGAACACAGGTACATACATATATTATGTGAATATACATATGCACCATACACTATATATAAACAAAGATATTTCTACAGTAGATGTATGTGACCATGATATCATACACAAACATTTACTGTATTGAAACATAATTTCAAATTTATGTTTGGAATTATTAACGTATTCATGCTGCACATTTAAAATATAATACATAACCAATGAAAAAATGGCATACGCTTGGAAATAATTCAACAGTGATTAAATTAAAGATGAAATTGCGTTTTGAAAGATGCAATATCCCTTTTCTTAGCCTAAAGAAACTTACTTTATATATGCCCTCAGCTGTAAAATTTTACTAAATTTAATTCCAAACCATTTGTTTACACAACCAAAAATACACAGAACTTTTTCAACATGAGAAATACACCTATGTATAGTATTCCTAGTGAGTGATAAAGTCTTGAGATATTTAGTAATTTGCATAAAAAATAAAGATCATGAAAGGCTAAAATAATTAGTCTTTCTATTATTTTTATTATAAATTTATATATTAAAAGGGAAACTATATTATATTCTAAAATTGTTTACCTAAATTTGATACTGCCTAATACTGTTATAATAATTATGCTTTTGTGTATTTACAATATAGTTGTGATTAAATCATAGAGGATACATGTGTGGCACACAACATATGAGTAAAAGTCATTACAAAGTTGCTTAGACGAGTAAGGGATTCAAGTAATTTAGTTAAAATATTATATATTGGAAGGTAATATATCTAAATATGTAACTTTATCTATAAAATTGCCATTGTTCCTAGTCATAGAAGTAGTGAGGATGAGAAACAAAAGCCTCAGCATACTTTCTACCAAAAGATAATCAATTAAAACTTATTTATGAAAACTCAAACATTAAACATGTTAATAGACAGGCTCATTTATCCAACCATTTCAAATATCAACGAGAAAATAATTTGTTACATTATGTAATTTTAGAGAGTTGTCCGAGCATTTTCCCCACAAGAAGGAGGGGGTGGAGGAGGGAGAGGAGGAGGGAGAGGGGGAGGATGAGAAGGGAAGGAGGAGAAGAAGAACACGCTTAGAGATTGTTTTGCTGTACCTTAGGAAATTTGTTTTAACTTTTTTATTATTTCTAAAATAGAACGCCATGGATAAGAAAGACTCCAATAACATGTAACTGTTTTCAAATAAATAAGAAATAAAACTGAGTAATTTAACCCAATTTTAACTGAGTGAAGACATAATCAGAGGCCATTTTCTTGCTTTCATATCCACTCTGAAGGGATTGGAATAATTTTAATTGTGTGAAGCAAAGTTGAATTAACTCTAAACTGCTTAGTTAACTTTCCAAATATAAATTTACACTAAATAGAGACATTAGACAATGATTTTATTGATTTTAACTGGCAAATTTGTATTACTAAAATACTTAAATCTTCCTATCTCGAATATAATGTATTTTCCAACCACAGAAGTAGACAACAGCAAAAAAGAGAAAGCACTTTTGGGGAAAGCACGTATGTAGCTAATTTAACACAAAACACTATAATGCATACCTAATATTTCTAATGCAGATGTGTCTTCTCCAACATATATATCTCCAGGGAATAATTGTAAAGAGGCAATACATTAAAATAAACTCTGATGGAATCATTAAACATGTAGTATGAGTCTCATCTGTATTGTTAAGGATTTATTTTGAGTACAAATAGTATATTATTTAATGCAATGTAATCAACACCACTTATTATAATGTTCAATATAACTCATAAATTACAAACATTTCTATATACAAAACTATTTTAGGGCTGTACTCTGCATGTAAAGATCTTTTAAAGAAGTCCTTCCCAGTTGTGGTATTATCTAAAACATAACTGGATTGTAGAGAGCTGTATTAGTTTCTAAGACAATGCTTTATAGGTAATGATTTTATAGAATAAAAAAAGTTTAAACTATAAAAACTGTTTACTATAAATGCTTCTCAGCAGAAGCATACTTTAATGTCCAGAATAGAATTCAGTTTAAATCCTAGTACGTCTTAATATCTTCATATAACTCCAGAAGATGGTGATATTAGTTGATATAGTATAAAAGACTAATGATCAATTTTTAAAAAGTTGACTCTCCATATTAAAGTGCTGAAATAGTGAATATTTAATACACAATTTCACAAAATAATGTTTATATTCTTCTCATATCTTATTTATAGACAACACTTAGAAAAATAGAGCAAATACAAAATAATTCATAGACCATAACCCAAATATCATGATGAATCCTTATTTCCTCAGTCTTAATAAATAACACTTCAAGTATAAGACTAATATCTCAAGTATCTTTGCACTTGAGATTTTTAAATTCATCCATTAATTTTAAGGTTAATATGACAAAAAGTATTAGATATTTTATATCTGGAATTAAACTGCAAATAACCAATAAGAATTTATTTTAAAAGCATGAGCAATAGACTCAGATGCTGGCAACATGGTTACAATTCAATTGTTCTTGTTGTTTGTTCTAATTTAAAAGAGCTCGAAGAAACAAAAAGTGTTTGAAAACTACTGACATCAATGATAAGTGAGCGGGACAGAAGGAAATCAGGCCTTACCTCTTTTTCACAATTAATATGACAACCAGAAGAAGGAGGATGAACACCAAAATTCCAGCACTGATTCCTGCTATTTTCACCACTCTGTCTGTCTGCTTGGCTGGGTCTGGAATCACTTCTGGTTCTTCTGTTGCTGCTGCTAAATGAATCAAAAAAATAAGTTACCGGAAGGAGCTAATGATCACAAAAAGGAAACCACACAACTACTACAAAAAGGCAACTTGTTTAATTTATTTAAATAAAAATAATCTAAAATATAAATACAGGAGCATGCTCAACTACAGCGTGAGATATTTAGTGCTAAGGGGAAATCTTTCTGAATAGTGATTTTGTTAACACAAAAAATAAAACAGAAATCTAGAAATAACTGAAGGGAATGGTGAACTATTAAAAGCAAGAATACAATATTTTTAGCAAATAGTACATGGGAAAAAGATGCGGTCAAGTTGAGAGATGCATTTGTTTATCGTTTCACTCAGCAAAGCCCTCTCCACTCAAGTGCAGGGTGCTGTGCTTGGCCCTTTAAGGACCATCATTGGCACTTGTTTGAGACACAAGGGGTTAAGTCAAATAAACAACTAGTCCAAATGACGAAGGTGTAAGTTTATGATTTGATATATAAGATTTGAAATGAATAGTTTGTTTGGGGGATAAAAAGAATAAGATAAGAAAAACATCAAGAAATATTTCACATCCTCCTAACAAATAAAACCCTGATAATAAACTTGGAAAACAGAACTTTGAAAAGATGAAATCTTTTTTTTTAAATTTTTGTATACCTTCATTTCCTTTCTGAAAGTCACCACCATCCTCTGTATACACACAATTAAAATTATAACATTTAACCAATTTATAAGCTCCAGTAACCATCTGAAGACATTCTTTTTTAACCTTGAAAATTGGCAAGGGAAATATTATCATCTACATTTTACAGATAAAAAAAATTGAGGCTTAGAGGGATAAGCATAGATTATAACTTGCTCAAGAACAGAGACAAAATCTAAAACGTTGTATCATCTAAAGCAGCATTTCTCAATGTTTCCAGATTCATAGCCCCTCTTGTTAAGAATTGGTGTGTGTGCAAGAGTACAGGTGACTCTCAGGATTAAGCACATTTGAGAAGCTGCCTTAAAGCCCCCATCGCAATGTAAGAAAGAGATGGTGGCTGACTGAACAAACAAATGAATCCCTAAATCTAACCTTATACCTTTCCAATGGATAATTTGTTAACACCCTTTTAAAAATAACCCAGTTTTCTACATGCCAATCCTTTTTTCTTTAACTTCTCTGTTTTGGCTCTTTTACTCCCCACCCCCTGCTTTAGCCCTAGCTCTGCATGTCTAAATATCTGCTCTGGTTTTCCAATCAGCCAGTTTCCTCAAAAAAGGGGCTAACACAAAGTTGCTAGCTTTTCTTTTTTCTAGGTAGGGAATTAAAAAGAACTAATAAATCTATTATTAATATCATGCCATAAAATGGTAATTTAGAGCTAAATCCGTATGAAACATACTGAAAAAAAGTGTTAGAACAGTTTACTTTGTAAAACAATTCACTATAACTGTGTTAACTTATGTTATTTCAATTGGATAGAATAAAACTTCCCAATGGACCAGTATTTGGTAAGTATTATTCTCAATAAGGAAAAGCAAGCCTTCGGCTTCTTTCTTCTGGTAAGCAAGGGAGTTTTCCGTTCAGACTTGATACTTTCCATATATCCAGGCTTCAGGGAATTTCCAGTCTCATTAATTATGAATAGAACTAGTTCAACGCTTACTACATTTCACACTACACATTATGGCTCAATTCATCCAAATATTCATTAAATATATGGAAGATCTCCTCTTTTCCCAAGAGCAACTTTAGAAATACATACATATACATACATATACATACACACACAAACACACACAACAAATATAATAAAAACATTAAATATATTTCAAAGTTGGACAGAAAACTAGAAAAATATTATTTGTAATTCTCAAAATGAACTAGTTTGACAGTTACTGCTTCAAATAGAAAAAGAGACGGAATGATGTAGAAATCTCTAGAAAAAAACTTTAGCGTATGCAACAAAACTTCATTATTCACCAATTAAAACTTATTCTCATCAGGTTATATGTTACACTTGGCTTTCAGAGAATAATGATCCCTTTGTGATTTTTTGACATACTTGTATATCACAGAATTAAATGTTTCTGAAAATCTTTAAAGGATCAGTTTTTGTTTGATGAGGTAAATATGTATTTTAATATATCATTCTAATTCAATAAAACACATGCTACTATGTGATAAATTTCTAAATATATTATTACATAAGTAGCATGTGTTATATTTCATAAGACTCTTCAGAACTGCTAAGCCCCATCAGAAGCAAATAACCTTTGTAATATGCACAGGTGAAAATATAAACTATTGTCATGAAGTATGAACACACAGCTTTAATACTAGCTGGGTTTAGTAATTAAATAAAACTGACATGAAGGTGATGGGTAAACAAATTAAAATTCAGGGGATGAAAAATACTTTTAAATCGTATTAAATAATATAGATTTGCTAATGAATTAATCTAAAAATATTTCCTGGAATGAAAAGTCAAATCTAAAAGTAAATTTTTGACCAAAGGTACCGATAACCTTGAAGTTGTATTCGGGCTACAAGACTTTTATAATCTATTTTGTAAAACAGTGTTGTTATTTTAAAGTCTTAGTCTATATGTATCTGTTAAACACTGGACTTCAATTTACCAAATGGCTAAAAAAGAAAAAACACACCAAGTTTATTCATTTGGGTTGGGTAAGAGTGCTTGTCTGTCATGATTACAACTCTCGTGCAAAGTGTTGTTCATCGATGCTTCAACACCATTATTAAACTTGAATACAGGAGGCTAATCAAACTCTTCAGGAACATGATTTGGTGGCTGTTTTCCCTTGATTGCAAATCCCCCTCAAAGTATGAGCTAGGTTATCGATTACTATTGTTATTATTACTGCTACTACCAGGAGCATTTTTATTAAATATCTGCATACATTCATTACTTTAGATATTTTAACCACACATATTTTTTCTAAATTCTTGGCCTACTAGAGCCAAGGGACATAAATATCCTATTTAAAATGGTTCAAGCTTAGAAGATTCATCAATAGAAACACAAGCAGTAAGCCCCTCAGTGAGCATTTTCTATTTTCTTTAAAGAGAGCAAAAAGTTATTATGGTGACTGTACCCCTGAGCCCTATTTATAATTTATGCACATACACAAAGGCAATATGAAGTACCTTTTTCAGAAATGCTTTCCTTTGCCATAAATCTTTACCTTTTTATCTGTCAAAGAATATTCAAAGTCCCAAGTGTTCTGAAGCCAAGAGCAGCATAAGTCTTTGGACAGTGAGAAAAGAAACTAAGGCAATAATTCACTTTTTATTGGGCAAATTTATGAGATGTCTTTTTCTTAAAAAATAGTTGAAGTAACTATAAATTGTGTCCTTGTTCCCATTATTTAAACATAATTTACTGAAATGTGTAGGTAAAATCATACACAAATACCTAAACATTTCACAAATTTACTTAAAAAGTAAAATTATTTAATAGCTGCAATCGTATAAAAACATTCTTCCATTTTTATGATGGATATTAGAGATAGAAGCCTCTATGTACAATATACTAGGTTGTTTCACAGCAGCAGTAGAGACACCATCGTCCTGTAAATTCTGCAAATCCTCCAGGTATTATACTAGTGCTGTCTTTCCTTCTCGGCTATAATTTTGAAAAATTATTCACATTCATTTCCCAAATATTACTTAAAATCCTATAATTAGCTTTATGTCACCCAAGGCCACCAACCTACCACCACCAATGTCTCCCAATGACTTACTAGTTACTGAGCTCAATGTGTACTTTTCTCATCTCATTTTATGTAACTTCTTGATAGCATTTGACATTGCTGTCCACTCTTCCTTCTTGTAATAAATACTCCTTTCCTGGGACTTCCATTACTCAGCCATCTCCAGGTTTCTTACGACACTGGCCTCTCCTTTCCACGTCTTCTTTGTGAGCCCCTCCTGGTTCCCCTTAAAAATTGGTGCTGCTTTGAGTTTCTTAGGGACCTGGACCTCTTGGCACTGGTTTCCATTCTTTCTGGCTTGATGATTTCATCCAGTTCCATAACTTCAGTTACCAAGCATACTGATCACTCTTAAATCAATGTATCTCACACATGGATCAGGGCTCCGACCTGAACTCCTAGCCCATGAATTCATCTCATTCCTGTTATATGTCTTTACTCCATTGTAAGACAGTCACCTTAAATGCACCATTTCCAAATTGGAAATCATAATCTTACCCTCACACCAGTTCTTCCTCTCATGTATGCCCTTTCAGTAAATGGCACAACTATCCACAGAATGACACAACTATTCCTGTTGTTCAAGCCAGAAATCTGGGCATCGTTCTTGAATCCTCCTCTATCTTTATCTCCAGGATTAATATATAATTCATCATCCCAACTGGGAAGCTTCTGAAAGTGAGAGGTGGTATTCTTAATAGTTATGATAGGACAAAAGGCAAAAACTGGAATTGTCCTGGGTAAACTGGGGTGTACTGTCACTTTCCTTTCTCATACAATTAGTTACAAAGTACTATTACTTCCTAAGTATCTCCTGTCTCTCCTTTTTCCATCTCCACTTCTGCTACCTTAAGTCAGGTCAATATCATATCTCACCCACATCACACAGCAGCTGCCTATCTTGTCTCACTGATGGCTATCTCTGCCTGTTCTACATCAAAACTCACAGCATAGCACATAGCATTTTTAAAATTACAACTATATTATGTCACTCCATTGTTTAGAACCCTCCAGCGGCTTCCCACTGCTATTAAGATGAAAGCCAGGAAAACAGGGCCATGTTTATTTTGCTCACCATTGTATTTCCAGTAGACTTGGAAAAAGGAGCCACAGTACAATAAGTATTGGTTGAATAAATGAAAGAATGACACTAAAGCTACCTACGGTAGATTGTACTAGCAGATAGAAAATCAGACAAATATCTCGTTGTTGTGGATATTGGCATAAAATGAACTTGATACATACATTTCTGAATTGTCTCTAGAAATTTCAAGGCCCTGTGCTAGCTATTCCTTTA